ACATATATATAGCATAACAGTCAAAGTGTTTCAGTTGTTGCCCACTAAACCTTCACATAAGGATTTACAACAGAAATGATCATGCAAATTCGTTGTACTTTTGTTCCCTTTGAATTCCAGGAGCATTGAGGGACGTGTGTGATGCAGAAGTAAACATGTTGCATTCAAGGAGAGGAGAAGATTTGCATATTAAAAATGTACCTGTGTGTGTGTGTGTGTGTGTGTGTGTGTGTGTGTGTGTGTGTGTGTGTGTGTGTGTGTGTGTGTGTGTGTGTGTGTGTGCGTGTGCAGGTCCAACTTAATCTCAGCAAGGGACAAACATTTACTGAACACACACATACACGTGCGTTGTTTCCATGGGAACCAAGCAGCCACTCTGCTCTTCAATAGCGACTGAGTGAGTCGAGGTAGATGGCTATTGTGTTGTGTGTGTTTGGGGGGTCGGGGTGGCGGTTCGAGAGGGGTTGGGGGGGGCAATATTAAACAACGCACTAGACAGATGAAAGCACTGCACATCCTTAAATCTAATCATAATTTAGTCATCACTAGAAGATGCTATGATCAAAATAAAGAAGGAAATAGGCAAGACTGACAGGACAGAGAGAGACCTGAGTGCACGAGTCAAGGGAAGGGGGATGTGAGATTGCTGTTAGATGGAAAATGATGGAGCCTCACGGACAGAGATGGTCTTATTCCTAAAGTTGATGCTTATTTGTTGCATCAATCCCTATATCCAGGCACAGGCACTTAGCCTAAAAGGATTTCTAAAGCTCAGACACAGCTACGCTGCCACGAAGACACTGGACTATAAGTCATAACCGCCAATACCCGGACTTCCATTCATGCCTTTTTAAAAATGTAAAATCACGACAAATTAAATTACAAAAGCTGAATAGAAATGGCATGAAAATGGTATGAATGTAATAAAAATCTTCTCCAAGGTCCTGATCTCTGATTGAATTTAGAAAAGGATTTGTCCATGTAGAGATGTTGTGTTGTATACTGCAGAATGAATCTCAAACATTGGATGGCGTTCCTCTTTTCATTCACTTGCTTTTTGCTAAACATGTTTCCAGAATTAACAAATTCTTAAGAAAAGAAAAGAAAAATCGGAAAATCTCTTAAATCGACCAATTTATACCTGACACATCTCGGACTATTATCCTGCAACATTGCTGCAGAGAGAGTAACATAGTGGAGCCCATTAGGACGCCCTGGCCCTCCTCTCCTTCACTGGGGAGAACTTTTGAAACAAATTCAGACAAAGAGCATTCAGAGAAAGGATGAGAAGAGGAAGAGGCCCAACTGGGGATTTCTCAAATGGGCTTTTAAAAGCTGATAATGATATTTCTTGGATTTCAGCTGATAATCAGTAATTTGTGCTTAAATGTGCAATAATCAAATTTACCAATTACTTATCAAAATATTCATAAAAAGTCATTATCAGCATTTGCTTATGCCTGTGAAACAGGATATATCAGTTATCATGGGACGACATTTCTCTATTTGAAACAAGGCCATTATTAATATTGTTTAATAATAAACTAGTATAGTTATAATATTGATGATTTTGCACAAGGTGGATCTGCGAAGCTGGTTTAAAGTTAATCTAAAACTGTTGTTAGAGCAACAAGTGCTTAAATCCAAACCTGCAGAAGTGCAGCTTATTGAGAGTTAGCTGAATCATGACCAAGACATTTTAGGGTGAACAGATTTTCATATACAAATGTCTCTCTGTCTTAGGTTTGAGAACATGGTGATTTATTGATAAATCATTATAATGTTTTGGAGTAATTACAACAATTAAAATGTCACGATGAAGACATAAATATACTAATGTTATAATACTATACTATAATAATATTATTACATAATGCTATGTGTTAAAATATACAAGAAAAAGGTTTATACACTAAAAAGAACTCACTTTTCCTTTGTTTTTTAAAAAAGAGCGCACTATTACTCGACATAACCTCATCCAGAACTAACAAATCATTGCTTTACATACACTCCAAGAACCAACTTTGCTGGATGAGAATTAACAGGATCATTTTAGCATCATAACAGCATGTTAATCTAGATTAATTCAACCATGTTTGATTGACGTTTGAAAGAATAACTTATGTGCAATGTTTAAAATGCAATTAATTAATTTCTTAATTAAAAAAATACAATTAACTTTTAATTAACTATTAAACAAATTAAAACTAGATTCTGACACAGATCCCTCTTAGAGAAAGGGCCTCAAGGGGTGCAGCAGTGCAGGAGGTTTTCTCAAACCGATCTAATACAGATCTCATTCAGATTTAATCAGTGAAGCTGCATGACTAAGATATTTGACGTGGACAATATTGATTCACAAAGATGTGTTTTTGATAAAGGAGCTCTTTATGGCCCCATATATTGATTCAGTCTATCTTGGAAAACGGGTTGGAGGAGAATTACTTTGTCCCTCTTGAAAGATGTTTCTCTCCGTTGCACTGACACTGACACTGGGAGCTGGGGCAGCTTCAAGCAGCCCATTAGAGGGAAACTATTCTCCACCTTTGCTTTGTCCTCCACTCTCCAGTCCCCTTCCCATCGTGGTCAAATTCATCTGTGTAGACGATTGTCACGACCTTCCTTTGTGAGATTAAATAAATGCACCACCTCCTGCTATCAGCTGCGGTATTGATTACACCTTTTAGTGATTTTTATCCCATTTCATGATAATGAAAATAATGGAAATGGCCGGTGTATAACAAAATAGCCTTAATACAGAACACATTAGTGAGAGACAGAGAGTGGGTGTTGGGAAAATGTAAAAAGCTCATTAGATTTGGTAAAACTTTTCTGATCCCTGTGCAGCCTTTGGGTCATTAGAGATGGCAGTGAAATGAAAAATATTAGAGAAAATGGGCTAGCATATTTCCAACATGTCATTTGAACTGAAACTTCAAAAGGTTTTTAGGTTTTTAAATTAAAAATTCAATAAAGTAATTAAGCCACTATGCCTCCTTGTGATAATAAGAAATTACATTTGATTGGTGTGAGTTGAATGTGACAGGGGTGATGATGATGTTGTTGTTTTGTGACAGTATAGGTTATCAAGGGTATGTGTTGTTTTGTTTGTCATATTTGCCTTAGTAATTGCCTTAACAAATATTTATATATGTCTGTATTTGCTTATTAATCTATTTGTATTTTTTCTCTTCCACTTACTGTGAGGATTTTCAGGGGTAAATATTTAAGATTGGAAAAGAAACACCTGCAATATGCAAACGTAACCTGGTTCTTTCATAAATAAAATGATAAACAAAAATGTTTGATCATTTCCTGAATAATTTCACTATTTAGAGGTTCATTCAAATAGTTTTTTATTATAAAATGCTGGCTTATAAGGACTTGCATAATGTATTGATTGGTGAGTGTAAACAATCAATACCACTGTGTACCTTGCACTGCATACTGAGTATAATGTACAACCGTTACACGGAACCTTTGTCCTGTAACCTCAGTTGAATTCAGGGGACTTTATCTGTGACGGACTGTCCAAATGACATAGTGGTAAACACAGTAAGGTGAGTCTCGATTTATGTTTTCCAGCTTGTGAACGGCACCAGTTTCCCCACAGGACAATACCAGTACAGAGTCACTGGTGCTTGAGGGCTACGGCTGCAGGGAGCGGGCAGCTTTTATCTCGTGTTAAAGTGACGTTGCTCAAGGATGGAGAGAGAGAGGCTAGCGTTAGCTGCTAGCTGGCTAACTAGCCCCGGCTCACATCAGCTGGGGATAAAAACAGGCCGTATTCAGCCAGCTTTCTGAATAGTTGACCGCTTTTAAAGATGGAGCTATGTGCAGTATGTGTGTCGTGATGAACAGGGGCTATTATCGAGCTATCTTATGTAGCAAGTGGATGTAGCTATCCGAAAGACTGACCGTGACTTCACCTCTGTCCCTGTTTACTGCTGAGAGGCTGACTGTGTGTTTATGGATACAGGCACAGAGGCAGACACAAGCAACAGCACTGAGGCTTGAATCCGGTTGGGTTTTTTTTTTGGGGGGGGGTTCTAGTTGCTTCTGGTTTCAATAAACACAAATAGTATCATTGTGTAACATTATTTAAGCTATTAAAGATGAGGAAAACAAACCAGAGTTAGAGCAGAGGACCAGAGAGAGGTTCAAAGTCTGAACATTGCTGCCACTTTCTGCATCTTTCTACATTTGTGAAGTTTGTCATTCCACCTATGAACTAAAGTACAGCTGAAGGGTGATTGCTCTCAAAGCCAGAATATAAAAACATAAAAACAACAACATTTTATGAGTGCATGAATTGGGATAATATGCATATAGCCCAATAAAAACATGGAGCGAGATATAAATGCATAAACCTTTCCTCATGCACATATCTGATGTGGCAATAAAGATAGTGTAATGCGTAAGTAATGTACATGTAATGTGTAAAGTTCAATTAGGCAATATCACATGAAATAAAGATACATTTTGTATCTGCACAAAAACACAAACTGATGTCGCCTTGTTAGAGACCTCTGAATCTCTGCACATCGGAGATTTCCTTAGTGATTGTAAGGAAGAGAAACAAAATGGCAGTTCGGTTTGATTATCAGGCCAGATTAGATGCATCATAAGCAATGTACACGTTTAGCCAATAGTGACGGGAGTGAAAGTTGGGATAAGTATATTGTGTACAATATCAATTAAATGTATTGATTGTGGTCCATTTGGCTGTCTCCAGGTCATATTTTAGACACATGCTTTGTTCTTGAGTTCACATAATCATTGATCAAAAGTATTCTAATCTGTGCTTTCACGGCTAATGTTGGCTGTAGGCTTGACAGCATGTGTGAGTGAGTCGACAGGAGTTGAGTTGGGAAGCTCGATGAGTAACTAACCCTGATGACGATGCTCAGTTAGGTCAGAGCTGGAGCTTCAGGCGGATGATGTCATGGTAAATATGTCGGTATATGATTACACAGCTTGTCAAATTAAAAGGGGAATCAGTTTTAGTGATCAGTACTACAGTGGATGTCTCAGCAAAGTTGCTACCCTTGTGTTTTTGCAACCAAGGCTTTGTAATTATTCGAGATTGAATACACGCACAGACACACACACACACACACACACACACACACAAACTGCATTGCTAACAGTATGTCATCCAGGGATTAGTGCATTTAATCTTATTTTTTTTTTATCTCAATTAAATTGCTTTGTTTGTAATATATTGAAATAAAATTGAATTCTGAATTAGGTAGAAAGTGACTTTTAAGTAGAAATAGATTTGAAAAGTCAATATTTTTGATTGAAATTGCGAAAATGCACAAACAACTGAGCATATCAGCAGTTTCAGTGTAATGTTGCTACTGTTTACCAACACTAAATGTCCTGGGCCATTGCAGTAGTGGAATGTATGGGCTTACTTGTGTAATTGTAATGCATATAAGTTAATAAATGCCCACATAGAATCCATAAGGATCATTAAAATCCCAGTGATATCTATGACAATATGAATCTCCAACAAACAATAATATAGGATCAATTGTAAATATTCAATGTATTGAATTGCCAGACTAGAAATTGAGTTGGAGTGATGTAATGGTCTTTAAATAATTCATATATGGAGGAAAAGTAAAAGAGGCTGAGCTGTGGAGGAGAAGAAAATCAATGAGGATGAGAGAGCATAAATGAGAAAGACAGAGGTATAGAGAGAGAGAGAGGGAGAAAGAGGAGTGGAGAGAATCAGAAGAGACAGGCGTTTAGGCAGATGGATGGGAACCCCACCCAGGCCTGCTTCCTCTCTGTCTGCTCAGTCCAGTGATAAGCAGCTGAGGAGGAAGTCGACCACTCTTTCATCAGGACATGTGAGGGTAGAAGATCGGTTGTATTTGCTGACGAGGAATTGTGAAGCTCCAGTCTCAGTGTGTGATGAAGATGCTGTAGGTGGGTAGGTAGATTGTAGCTTATGCAGCTTTTGTCCAACTTTTCTCTTGGCATAGCCACTATTTAAATTTTAAGAGAGCGTTGGTTTTATGTAAGAACTAATGACAGTATTCTTGCTGTCAGCTGTGTTTCCATTTTTTGTGTTTGTTCGGCATGCTTCCTCTTTACTATTTCCTGTTTCTCTCTAGCCTTTGTAACAGTGAAGCCACAAACATCTGATGACCTCACAGCCTCCTGACGAGCCAAAAGAACGCAAATAATAAAGTGGAGGGTTGATTTTGACTTCACATCTCACAGACTTTGTCTCCAGCCCCTGAACATTTCAGTCGGAGCTGAGGGATTACTTGCCCAGAGTGTGTATCTGGCTAAGTAATGTAGTTTGCCACCCAAATTGGCTCGATTTGGGGAGTATAAGTTTAGCTCTGGCATAAAGCTGTATTAGCTTTCCCCCGAGAGGGAGTTGACGTCCCCTCCAGAGTGAATGAAGGGCCTGACTTGTTGGAGGAGAACAGGCTTCTGACTTGGCTTCAGACTGCAGGCTGCTCGGATCTTCCTCACCCCTTCCCAGCTTTCCAACATACCTAAAACACCTGCATTTGACCAGCTGACAGCTAGTCAGTTTGTTGGACATGTGGATGCTGCTAACGCGGTTTTTGCGCCCATTTTGGAAAATCATCTAGTTGTGAGACTTGTAGCTGAGGGGAAGGCCCAGCCATGGAGGGTCTTGAGCAGCTTGACATAGTGAGCGATATCAGCCCAGCTCTTGAGGCCACCGAGGACTTTATCCACTGCATGGATGGGATGCAAGGCCAAGGTCCGAGCCAAGCTCAGACAGGGACCCTCCAGCCTTCCAGGCAGCCCAAGCAGCTGCAGGAGGTCTCCAGCGCCGCACTGGGGAAGTTGAGCTCCAGCGGCGTGTGGAGCCTGCTGGCTGGAGAGCAGCCAGAGGTGGGGCCTCTAGGCCTGGCCTGGGCTGACAACTTCAGCGTGTTGGGACTGGGGATGGGCCTGAGACATGGCAAGAGAAGCCGAGCTCGCTCCACCAACGACCTGGCAGCCCATACCAAGGAGTGCACCAACAACACCGCCAACTCCTCGTCCAACTCTGCTTTCAAGAAGGGACACAGCCGGTCCAGATCAGACGTCAACTACCGGCCGTCTGCCTACACAGACAACGGACTGCCCACTGTGGACTGCAACACTCTGAAGAACATGATCCTCAACCACCAGCAAGAGGGTGAGTTCACATACATGGTGATCATTCAAATCTTTCAGGTCTATGATAGAGCTGGAAAGATTAGTTGATTAATCAATTATTGACAGTCTTTGGGTTTTGGACAGTTAATTAAACAAAACTAAAATTATTGATTTATGATATTGGGTTATATAACTAAAACTGGCTTGACTTGACGAAACAAGCAATTTGAAGACCTCCACTGGGCTGTGGGAGTGATAATCTGAATGTTAGGCCTTAAAAAAGCCCTAAATATTATTTTAAATTACATTAACCCACATTGTATCGAGGTGGTGGCCGAAGTCTCAGCGACACATCTATCAAAACCTTGAGAAATTAAGCCCAAACTACTATCAGTAGTACTATCATTAAAGCTGAGTGGGAAAATATATGTTTTCTAATCTAGGTGACCCTTTAATCGCATTACATTTGCCTAATTGGGCATTTGTGACATGAAGAGCCATCGTTGCTTTGTCTCATTAAAGATGATGCCACGTACTCTGGTGACCAACTCATTAAACCTGAAGTAATTCTTAGCCAACAGGCCGGTCACTGTCAGAAACATGCACACCTCCTCCTCCTGTACTCTGATCGACCGTCCATTCACCGGAAAGCTTTCTAAGGCTTTGAGAGGCTTTCGGAGGACAGAAGTCCTGGACTATTTGTTCTGCAGATCGGGGCGTACGCTGTACTTATGTTGAAGCATCCTCAGAGAAAGCAATAATGATAGAAGATGATGATAACTTGAAATGACACAGCTGTGCTATGACAGTCAGTATTCAGGCAGAGAGCCCAACACACACACACTCACATCATTTGTTTGTGTGTTTTGGCCATCTGAAGGCCTAAGGAGATCCTAAGGGATCCTGAGGGATAATAGCCCGTAATCCTGTCAGCAAATGGACTCAAATGAGGCGAGAGAAGAGGCAACCCAATTACCCGCCCCCTGATACTGGCAGGATTATTTAGTATTAGCATATGTGTGAAAAGGCATCAGGCTATTTAGTTTGGCTCGATGTGTATTGAAAGGAAGTAGGAAGAGAAGGAAGGTAATAAGCAGAAGACAGAATGATTTAGCTCGGCCTCGCTATGTCTCTTCGTTCACACTGAAAAAAAAGTTGCCTGTTCCATTAGTGACAGCTGGGGATGTTTAGATGGTAAATGGAAATGATCATCACTGTTATATACACAATATGCATGTATATATGGGACCAAACAGGCTGTATCTGTAGCTTTTATGAAAGCTCTTCTTTGTTTTGTAACATCTCAAACTGAACTGTAAAGGCTGCATTCATCTGTTTGTGTATTAACATGCTTATATATAATAGGTGTAATTTTGGGTGCACCTTTTGTTGCAAGCATTCCTCAATAATTTAAAATTCATAGATCCATGCAAGAAAATAGCTTTTGTTGGCAGCTTTTAATGTTAAAACCTGCACCTGTTAATGAAAATGTAAAGAGTGTAATGACAAGGTAAGCTTCTGAAAGGGTTAAAACGCCAAGTTGGATTTAAGGATTGAAGCTTTAGTTTTTTAGGATTTTAGCTTAGGACTAGTCCTCTGAATGATGAGACACAAAAAAACATCCCCACAGTATTGTCACAAGTCATTTATGCAACAAAAATGCCAAATATCAGCTGGTTCTGGCTTCCAAAATATAAGGATCTGTTTCTTTTCTCTGTTTTATTGCAAATTGAATGTCTTTGGGTTTTAGACTTGGAAAACCAATTTGATGATGTCAGCTGGGGCCCCAGTAATTGGGGCTTTTTCCCTGTTTTCTGATATTTTAAAGTCGAAATGATGAATACTGGTAGATTAATTGAAAACAATCATTACACGTGGCCCTAATTTTAAGTAAAAAGAAAATTTGATTGTTTTTTAAAGAAAAAATAGTAAGCCACAGGTATTAAATATGAAATGAAGTAGTCGGTTTCTTCTTTTGAAATGTAAGGTTGCATCTTCTTCATACTTTGCGCTGTCTAGAGCCCCAATCTGCTTCTGTTCATTTTCATTTGCATCTTTCTGCTGACTCTGTATGTACGTTCATGCTTCCTCTATTTTTCAAATCCTGCACGCACTGTAATACGAAACACACGTCCATTTCTGGCCTTACTCAACGTGGGGATTTACCATAAGTCCCAGATGACACACACACACGCCCACACACACACACACACACACACACACACACACACAAATGCAGCTTTAGATATTGACGTTAATGTGTAAGGTCTAACTTACGGAAAAAAATACACCTACATTTACCTGTGGATGTAAATATGTTAGTATATAGGTATGTATGTTAAAGTCCTGTGATAGCTTGCCACCTGTTCAGTATGTACCCCTACTGTACTTTTCACCCAGTGCATGCTGGGATATCTTCCTGAATGGGATAAGCGCTGCAGTGTAGAGTGGACGGTGTACCTGTGTGTGACTGCAGGGTCCTTCTCCTGGTTTTTCATTTGCAGTGAATGTGTACTTTGGTATGCAGGAAACTGTTATATTGCAAAGCAGCACGTAATATTATGATTGGCTACCTAATCAGTGGGCGCGGTTGCTTGTTTAAGTCTGAAGCGGAGGCTTACGCCTTGTGTGACTTGAGGGCAGCGGCACTGGATGGTGAGAAAAGTGTTAATTTTGGTTGAAGGCTTGCATGTGTATATTACTGGAGGGTTGATGTCAAAACCTACCAGGTGGAGATGAAGGATAATTGAACAGAGCAGTTTTTCCTCACCACAATGCCTAATTCTCATCTCTACCCTCCCAAGCGTGAAGACTGCCAATCAGCCAGACTTGATTCCAGCTAAACGTATTTGCATATTCATTTGTTCCTTTTGTAAGGTTTGTTAACATGCAAAGTCCGAGACCTGGAGTGACACCGTGTCTGCTGCTGTTTTTATAAGATTGATGAGGCACTTGACTCGCCGCCATCTATTTAACAGGCGCTGTGAAGGATTTAGCTTTTCCTTTTTCTTCCTTGAGTGATTTAGCACGTTAAAGAAACAAAATGCCAATTAGACTGGCCCTGGGGAGGTTTACAATTAAATCAGTTCGTGGGATTGGTTTAGGGAATGGGAATAGGTGATTGTTGTTATTTTTAAGTAAAGCTGCCTATCCATTAGAAGACGCCTAGACATTTAAGTTAAAACTGGGCTAAATTAGGCTGCAAAGCTGTCAGATGACAGCACCAAATTAGTCTGTTTGCACACAGCTCATAGAATAGACCCCAGTCGTCAGTCTTTGCTGCGCCGTCTTAAGTCCCAAAGATTCATCTGTTTGTCACCAGTTTCATACTCTGCTTGCTCTGTTTTGCAGGTGCATCTCTCTCTTCCTCTTTTTATTGGAGGTTGGGTTGAGATTGAACTAAAAAAAGGAACCTTTGTCCAGTATTTGGTTTCTTTGGGTGATGATGTGAAACGCTCGGTGCTTAAACCGCTGAAATGTGGCTAAAGGTCCCAAATATTCCTCCGCAGGTCACTGGCATGTGGTGAAGTTTCTTTTTCGAAATGATTCGGATACCTGACAAGCTGAGTCATTGCTCCACCTCGAGTTTGACCTTTGTATGCACTCTTTGAAATGCATACACAGGTCTGCAGGTGTATGGACTTCAACAAAGCATTATGGCGGCAGCTGATTTGAGGTTTAAATAAGAATTGTTAATACTATTAATGCTCTTCTCTTTTCGCTCTGATTGTGATGGTCATTTTGAAAAGTATCATTACAGTATTAGGGCCCAACCAATATACCTCTTGCACATATATTAGTATAGGCAAATATGATGGTGGATATTCAGTGAAGTTACTGTAAAGTATTTACTGTTGTCTATATTTACTGTTGCTTACCTTACTAAAGTTGATTACTCAAGTGTAAAATATCTTTTCATCAGCATATCAGAAAATGTGTTTAGGTATTTGCCCCAAAAATCCAGTACCCATCAGACTTTAAACATTATCATTAGTTTTACCTTCACCTTTTAGGTAAAAGGTATAGAGCGATTAGGTGCATTTTGGGTAAAAGGGGATGTTTCACCAGTGTATTAAACGTTTTGTTCAATAGGATAGATTTGCTGTTGGTTGGCATCTGACCAGTATGTTTTTTGCCATTTTTCTAGCAGGGCAGTGAATGCAGCATAGCTCATAATAAAGACTGGCCCAGTTCTATGTCCCAATCAGAGGTCACGTCTGTTGTCTACCTGAGTCTGAACCCTCCTTAATCAAGGAGAAAACACACCATAATCACAAGAGGAGACAGAGAGGAAAGGAGGGAAAAACCAAACCCCTGAGCAGCAGAGAGTGAAACAACGGAGAGAAAAGGCCAAAATAGAGAGAGATTGTTCCATCAGTCTTAAGATTAGGAAAGTGGGACAGTTTGCCTAGTGGCCTCTTTAACAATACTCTTTCTTCCTGCCTTGGTGACAAGAGAGGTTCTCAGAGGAGCACCTCTAACACCCACTCATGATTATCTCTTAACAAAATACAAATGCTCCGCAATCCTCCGATAAGCTACCTTGTGTAGGAACTTGCCCGTCTAGATGAAAGTTTCTGACATTAATAAGAATTGTAAGGATTCAGGCAAACTGGGAGAAGAAGACGCATAAAGGCTGAATTATATTTGTACGTTGACTCGACGTTGAGCCTACTTAAGTTACCTGCGCCGTTATGAGCATTTATACTTGTGCAGTGGTGTGTCTGCGTTCCTTTGCAAATAGCTCTGCCTGTGAAACGAAAGGACGAGGGGATACAAGAGGACAGGTGAGCATGTTATGCAGCAGGGCAGCGTCCCATGTGTCTGTGTGAAGTGAAAAGGGATTCTCAGACAGCATTATTAAATAATTTGGGTTCCCATTCTAGGACAATGCACACACAAGTGGACCAATTACAGTTGTTGTGGTCTGTGTCGCTGCAGGCTTGGGTACATTTCTGGAGAGGTGCATGACGTAGGGTTTGAGGCTACACCTTACCAACAGCATTTGGTTCAATGCGAAAGTAAAAATCAGGCTTTCAAAAAAAATACTTGGCAGGTGATTAGATCAACCATCTGTCTATCACCGCCTCTCTCTGGCAAACTTCAACGAATCAGATCAACAACATATAACAAACTCCATCTGAAGAAGAGTGAAAACATCTTTTCCATCAAGAAAAAACGTAGTTTTCATAAGATCTTTGCTCTTATTTCAATGAAGAAATACTCTCCAGTCATGATATAACTTTCTTGGAATACAAGTGTATCTCTTACACCATCAGATTTACATTCTTAAGGAGCTTATTAAGTAAATTTTCATGTAGATTAAAATAACAATTACTCTTAAAGTGAAATATTATTATTATCCTTATTCCATATTTTTGTCTCAAAAAAACATCAGAAGATACATTATGTTGTTCAGAAGGACTGCACTAAAATATTAGAAGTATATAGCTGGAAAATACCATTAGCAATCACTGAAACATCCAAGAACTGCAGCTGCCAAGGATTAAGCTGTCAAGTGTTTTTTGAATGGAGTACTCATTTAAAGCTTATAACTGATCTCTTTATTTGCTACAGTCACATGGATCCAGTGACAAGGTATCAATATCAGCATGGTCAAAACAGGCATATATACAAGACATAAGACATCCGGTTGTGCCTACAGAAGATCAGATGACCTGTACCAATGAGAATGTTGTTGTCTCTTGAACACACACATTATTCCTCTGTGTCTCATTTCTCCCTGTTTTCCCTCCTACTCTGTATCTCTGTCCAGCTGATAAAAGCAGCAGTGGCAGTGTAGTGAAGCAGGGTCAGATGGAGCAGCGCGAGGGGCCCCGAGGCCGCTGGACACCCTGCCATGTCGAGCTGACACCCTGTGAGCTCCGGCTGTACACTCTGGACAGCAGTGCCAACCGCCAGCTGGGCACCGCCTACTCCCTGTCACACTGCCAGAGCGTCATTTTCCCAGCTCCATGCAGCCAGCCCGGCCAGATCACTCAACCCGCCGATCAACGCACACTCCAGGCTTTGTTCTTCAACAGCACACGTCTCCAGCTGAGGGCGGCCAGCCAATGGGAGGCCATGGAGTGGAGACGGCTGATGTGGGAGAAGGTGCAGGCAGCCAGACCTGTGAGGCAGGAGAACCGCCAGCGTAAGAACGCAGCAGAAAACCAACAGGTTGCAAAGTTTCCTGCACCCATGTCACCTTCCTCGTCGCCATCTCCATCTGGGCTCGACACCAGGCCTGATGGTGACAGCGACACCCCCACCTCGGCGGAGGCATCGCTCTCTCTCCAGCCGAATTCTGGCATCCTGAGCAGACCCACTACCTTGCCTCTGTTTACCCAACGCTGCCAGGACGTCCTCAAAGCTGGTCTGCTCTACCAGCTGATGGATCAGAACAACTGGCGGGCCTTCACCTTCGTCCTGACCAGATCCACTCTCCGGGCCTTCCCCACCGAGGGCCGTGGGTCCGTGTCCCAGCCTGCCCTTCAGTACTCCCTTGCCTCCTGCTTGGCCGTGCAGCATGACCAGGAGCTGGAGAACGGAGAGACATGGACAGATAGAAGGGACTGCTTCCAGGTAGTTTTCCCCAAAGATGTACTCAGACTTCGGGCAGACGATCAACTCAAGGCTCACGAATGGGTGGAGGCCCTGCGGGATGCTGTCGGGGCGCAGAAGCCTGCCCAAGAAGACGGGGGAGGATCGGGAGAAGGTGCTCCAGGCCTCCAAGTAGTGCTGTTGAGATCAAAACCATCCAGGGAAAGGAGACAGCGGGAGGCCCAGAGAGCAAAGCGGCAGTCAGTCACCACCAGTTTCCTCAGTATTCTCACCTGTCTGGCTGTGGAAAAGGGGCTCACTGCTCAGAGCTTCAGGTGTGCAGGTAAATGACCTTCACATACATACACACACAAACACACACAGGCTCAGAAGAAAAGAAGATGACATGGCAGTTAGAGTAAATATTAGCCATGATTTTCTCTATTTTGCATGTTTCTTGTAGCTTAATTAGTTTGTGTGTACATAGGTCACATTTTCAAAACAAATTTACTCACAAAGGTTAGAAATTTCCGCATGGCATCCCAAATCTCAAGACCTAACTGGCTTCCAAAACAGTTTATTGAAGGTATGCTGGGTTTCTTTGTTTGAGTCCGAAACAGATTTCAATTATACCCTCAAACCCTGCTGGCCTGCTTTCACTCTTCTCCTGATACATGGTCCTGTTGCGTAGCACCTTCATAGAGAAAGTACGACTTTTCTGCCATAAGATTAGACCCTGTAGCTTAGGGGTTAAGCTATGGTGCGCATACCACCAGTTCAAGTGTGTTCCTTCAGACTGAATGTATTTATAGATAGTGCACAAAAGGTATCAATGCAGGACAGACTTATAGGATAAAATTACATCTGAAGCTGTGTGCCAAATCCACTCTACTGTTCATACTATAAATCCTACACTTTATACTAATCTTTATTTTGGCAGATAGTATACACAAAATGAATGCAGACTACTGTTTTGTACTATAAAGAAACTTCACTGCCCACAATTAGCATTTTTTTCATTGTTGCACTGCTACTTTTTAATTCAAATTCTTGCTTTAGTAATAGTTTTCTCTGCTTTATGTTAGAAAACCAATTACGAATATTTCACCCTGATCCCCTTCAGACATTTTTAAAAGCATAAAAATACTCTGCTTTGAATAATCATTTATATGATGTGGTTTTGCTACCAAAAAAGCTCTGTTACTTTGTTAAGAAATCTTTAAATTATCTCAACTCATTCTCCATAATCTATTAACTCATTAATTATGAATATGCAATTCTTTTTCATTGCGAAGGTTACTACTGGACACAAAATGTCTTCTTTCTCACTGTAAGTCCATGTACGTGAACTGGAGGCTTCATATTTCCACATTGAACCACGATTGGCTTCCAAATGAGTTGTGATATTACAAAATGCTGCTTGTACATGTTGATTTCAGATTTAAATGAAGCACAGAGAAACGTGCTCTCTTCAACAGGTAAATGTGAAAACAACCTTCTGTTATAAGGACTGATTTTGACTGGAGGTGGGGTTAACTGTTCAATATGAAGCTAAAAACGGTTGAAATGTATGAAGGATGCTATCTCTTTGAACACATCCACCTTTTGCTGTCAGTCAGCGATTTTGGGTGTTTCTCAGTATTTAGTCCGTACCCTTTTTCACATCCTGAACCATTACAGCCTCTCTCCCTCCTTTATTGCTGCTCCTGTTAGTCTCCATGCCAGGCCCTTGGACAGCCCCATAAATGGCAGGCGGTGCTTTTACTCTCCCTGGGTGTGAAACGTGGGCTTCCTCTCTCTCTCGTAGGAGGGCTTTGAATAATCACCGCTCACCTCCCTTTTTATTTGTAACAACTGGCTTATTAATGCAGGGCTGTTTGAAAGGCCAGCTGAAACAGGAACAAGGACAGAGGCCGACTGGGGGCAACTGATGATAATTGGTAGGCTTAAAGCACCGGAGGAGAGGAAAAATGGATGAATGAATGAATGAATGAGAACGAATGAAAGCCGCCTGGGGATGCTACAGTGGTCAGGCTTGATCGTAGTTGTTTGATTGAAGGGTTTCTGGGTAGAGCTGGATGGGAGGGACAGCTGGATACGTCCATTTTCTATACAGAGCACACCTCTGCTCACTCAGTCCGTTTATTTCCCTCCTTTACCTCCCTTTCTTTCTTTATCCTTTCACCAGTTCATTCAGACTCACAGCCTCTCCCTCTTTTTGTCTCCCTTTCTCCCTCTGTTCCCCCCTCATTTATTTGACTGTATCCCTTCTTAGTCTCCTGCAGTGTTAAAAAAAGTCTTACACACCGTTTAAATTCAAGGCCATAAAATTGCATTTAAGTCCACAAGTTATAGCTCGAGTTCTTGTGTTGTTATAGGTTCATCGTTTTCACTTCCATGTTTTTTTCAGCTGGGAAATTGGTTTAAATTTCACTCTCACCAGCTTTAAAATAAGAGCCTAAAATGTAACTGTAGACAACGTATCTCCAGCTTTACTGTTTTTCTGCCCGCTGTTCTCCCCTGGCTCTCACCCCTCCTTGGTAGCATGCCAAGCTCCTTTTTCTCGAAATGCGGCCTCTTGTATTACACTTCAATTATTCTGTGCTAAACAAATAAACATGGCCTTTAAGGCGCACTGTCAGAGGAAGAACTGGTCAAGAGGAGTGTAGTGAGAGGATTGAAAGAAGAGTCAGACTTCTGCCAGGATTCAAGTGAATCCAACTTGAACTGAATTAAAGAATGGAGAATGTAATGTTGTGTATATCCCAGAGTTGTTGTCAGTGGAGTGCTGGTTTTGGTCTTTTCATGGGATTTGTTGAGCCTAACAAAAAAACAATAATGCCAGCCTCATTCTTAGTGTTATTTGTAAATCCATCTGGAATTGGTGCTTTGGCTGTAGTAGTCTATTATTGTTGAATATTTACAGATAAGTGGAAAACCCCATACGCTTAATTCACCAAATTCATCCTCTGTTGTTTCATTCATTCATTCATATATGAAGCCACTAATCTAAACAAGATCTCTTGATGTTCAGTGTGCTACTTTAGTGTCGACTGTCTTTCTTTGAACTTGTTTCAAGTCTGCCCTTTGCATATGCATGCTACGTCCATACATACATATCGAGTGATTGGTTATTTAACATCAAAATGTAAAATGTATTCAACTAATTACAAATGGGAATTGGTGCATTTTGATTCCTTTTGAAGGAAACGGTTAGTGTTCGTTTGAAGACCGTGACTCCCCATCACCCCTCATCTCACACACACACCCCCACACCGTGCAGAGTGTGTCCTCGGGTTTGGTGAGCCCTGTTGTTGCACGGGAGCACATTCTCAGGCCCCCGACAGACCATGTGAATCTGTTGGACGGGGGCTTCGGGTGAAGTGGGAATCGGTAGATATGAGGGAATCGAGGAAGTAGGAGGTGGGCTCACATCAAAAGATAGACAGTCTCTCTCTCTCTCTCTCTCTCTCTCTCTCTCTCTCTCTCTCTCTCTCTCGCTCTCTCTCTCTCTCTAACTCTAACACACGCACACACATTCACTGTCTTACTCACAGTACTCTCAATTTGTGCACATTTTCATTGGAGTGTTTGGTCTGTGTGAATGAGACACATCAAAGCTCAGGCTTCTGTCGTCTTTTCAGTTTTAATTCACACACATGTACATAACACACACTCGCGCGCACACACCGTTGTCCTCTCAGAGGTGTGGTGGTTTAAAACCAGCGGCGGGCAGATGAAAGCGGGAGCCCCTTTTTGCCCCGATGTCATCTCTCTCTCCCTTTCAGTGTCTCTGTGTCTCTCTCTCTCTCTCTCTCTCTCTCCACCGTACACTCACCCTGGGCAGGTCAAAGTGACCCCTCTCACTACAGAGAGCTGCAGTACAATCGGTAGACCTTTGAGCTGCGTTTGAATTCCCATTCATCTTTCCCTCTGTCCCTCTTTCTCTCCGTCCCAGAAAGACCCATAAAAGATCAGAGACAAGTAGAGAAAGCAGTTGTTACTGTGTGCTGATAATGGAGGAAGTAGTTAGCAGCAGAAAGTATTAATAGTTCTTAATTTAAGAAAGTAGCATTCATGAGGGTTGCAGTATTGGTTGAAAATGAAAAAAATGAGTGGTCGTCAGTTCTGAAAATGGAGAAAATAGCAGTTCAGTGTTGGTTGTAGTTGGTGAAATGTGACTGTAATCGACCGTAAGTAATAATAACAGTAATGATAATAAAAAGCAATAATTACACATCAGGTATGGTGGGTTATATCTTATACAAATATTTATTGTGGCCTATTGTTTAATTTATTATTATTTTGGAACTAAACAGATTATTTTTTACTGACAATCTATCAGTTATTTACTTTAAACATTCTTGTGTATATTTACAGATACTTTATTTACTTTCTTACTTATATATTTGATCTAGCTACTTAAATATACTTTGTTTACTTATGAACATATATACTTAGTTCTTACACCTGTACAGTCTAGTGCAGTTTTTTGGTGCTTTTGAAGTCTGCTTAAATGTTCCCTCTGCTCAATGGTGAGAGTTCCTGCAGGGTTGTCTTTGTTTTGAGGTTGTTTTGCTGCTTCTTGAGGTTTTGGTCAGGATCAGGTCACCATAAGATTTATATGCTTGGTGTTATTTCATTCTTTGTCTTCTGCCACAGTCCCACATGCATTATCTGTTGAGGTTTACTGCTTGTTTTACTGTGCAGAGCACGTTATAGGCTGCCTCAGCTGTGGTAGAAGTACATCTGCCTGTGTGTGTGTGTGTGTGTGTGTGTGTGTGTGTGTGTGTGTGTGTGTGTGTGTGTGTGTGTGTGTGTGTGTGTGTGTGTGTGTGTGTGTGTGTGTGTGTGTGTGTGTGTGTGCGTGCGTGCGCGGTGGGTGTGTTCTCTTCGAGTCATGATATAGAATTTGAGGTTAAGGTTAAAGGTTGTTATTTAGTTTGCGGATGTTTTCAAGCTACATACGTTTGTGTCTTTGTTCCTCTGGTCCCAACAGCAGCAGACCAAAATCGAGGCCAGAGTTGGCCAGAAAGCCGGCCCGGTGGTCAGCTCTTTCCTCGAAGTGACACAGTGTTTCTCTGACTCTTGACCATCCCCTTTGCCTGCTGGCTCTCAACCAGTGGACTGTGGTTTTTTTGAAAGAGCATCCACCCCAACAACAGCATGAGCTCACTGCTGTAATTAGCAGAAATCAGAGTTACACATATGTATTCGATCATGGGTTCTTCAAAAAGATAAGACTTTTGTTGTTGTGTTTTTCAAGCTTATCCACAAGCAATCATTTCATTCAAAGGAAAAACAAATTTCCATTCTTTAAACTTGGAAAGTGGTGAGTTTGTAAAGTTTAGCCCTACTCATAAAGAAAATATTTAAAGCCACTTAACTCCACCTCCCTCTGAAAAAGCTCCAGACAACCCTTTCCTTAACAAAGGAAGAGTGAGTAGAGCCCATACAGCGGCATAGCTTCACAAAATTCACAAGGGACCAATATGATGTGCAGGACGAGGGTCATGTGACGGACACGGGTTGCTGGGTTAGCACCAGTGCTGGAAACCTTTTACACTGTAAATAATGTTAGCTTTGTTAGCATGGCTACAGATCAGTCTTCACCTGTCACTCACGACCCTCGCCTTACGTACCATTACCTTAAGTATCACACATACAGTAGCTCCCCTTGATCTGTGATGCACCGTGTTTATTGACGAGAAGCCTGCCAGCCCCACTTACATAATTTGCATAATGAGATTGCGGGAAAAGCTACATAAAGGTAACTCTTATTGATAGTGACAGTGTCAACATGAGTGGGACATTTTAGGGTTGAAAAATAAATTGGCTTCTTCTTGTTGGTGGGTAAACTATGTAATGAAGTAATGCGACTCCAGAAGATTTATAGGTCGGGTCTGTATCGGTCAGAACATTAGATCTTAACCAATGAAGGGCCAAAAGTATGTACTGTTGTGGTTTTTTGACTACCTGTCTGACAAGTCAAGCAATTTAAAGACGTCCCCATTTTTTTCACTTGGCCCGACATTTTATTTACTAAAGGATTAATCAGTAATCTAAAGTTAAATTAAAGCTTAAAGGACCAGTGTGTAACATTTGGGAGGATCTATTGACAGAAATTAAATATAATATTTTGATTGGTGTATAATCACCTGAAAATAAAAATTGTTTTGTTTTTTTGGGACGTTTTTATCTACTGAAGGTCGCCTTCCTTGGAGTCAGCCATGTTGAACCGCCATGTTTCTACAGTAGTACAGAAAAGACTAACCAGACATTGGCTCTAGATAGGGCCTTTCACGTTTTTGTGTGAGTTTCCTGGCCACCATAGTTTTTCCTTCACACTTGGAAGGGGAGACTGAAGCAAGCAATAGCTGTAGAGATATTTTTCAGCCACCGCAGTTTCTCCTACAGATAGGGCCTTGCACGTTTTTTGGCGTGTTTCGCAGACACCATATTTTCTACTACACGGTTGGAAGGGGATGATGAGGGATCTGTGAGATCTCCAACTACACCACTACATGCCACTACAGCCTACACACTGGACCTTTAATTGATAATTAAAATAATTGCTAGTTCGGCCCTAGTTCAGTCTGTCATTCAGTCTGTGTGTGGCCGCTTGGTGCTCCAGCATGAGTTTTTTTCTCCTTTCTTTTAGTCAGATAAAACAGGAATCCAACTCTCGGCGCTGATTAGACCATTGTGTGTTTTTTTTTTTACAGACGTCAGATTCTTGTCTGTGATAGAAAAGTAGCTGGACTAACTTCTCTTTATTGTCTGCCTTCATCAGTCCTTGTTTGATCTCACGCTTCTCTTTCATGCAATTCCTGCTTTCCTCTCATCTTAGCCTTTTACTCATTCTTTCTGTTTTTTCTATTTCCCTTTTTTTCAGTCTGTGTTGTTTCTTGTGTTGAAGCACCACTGACAAACAGGCTGACACACGTCTCTCTTCCTCTGTCGTTCGTCTCTCCTTTTTTTCTGTTTCTTTCCATGCCTCTGTTTTCCAAAACCTAGATAACAATCTTCTGTTTCTTTTCTTCTCCACCTCTCTTCATTTGCTGTTTTCCTCCAGGCCTCGAGATTGTGTGGATAAGGGACACCTGTCGCAGTGCTGTGGCGTTTGTGTGTGTGATCATAGATCAGGTCCGGGTGTTTGGGTGAAGAATGAACTTTAAAGAGTCTAGAAGACAAAGCAGACAGTGGGGCTGCTATCAGGCTGAATGGAGCTGAGGATCTGTTGGTCTTTTAGGTCTACAAAACACCTTCTTACTGAAGTCTGCTGTGTTGTGACTACTGGAAGAACCAAGACTGTGTTATCTGAGGGATTACTTATGAATTTGGCATGTAGATTTTGGTAAACATGGATATAATAATACTAAACAAGAAGATGTAAAGGAATTTGAACTGTAAATGATAAGCTCACAGTTTTGGACATACTGAAGGACGTATGTGTGGTTTCAGGAGTTTGAGGACACTATAAAATTAGGTGGGCTTCCTCCCCAAAAATAAAAGGATGTTATTGTTATTTCCTGCATCTTCAGCCATCATCTCCATCATTATAAGATTGCTCATCCTGAAATTGGTCGTGTTAGTCAGTCATGGCATCATTTGTGCACTAACTCGTCAAGAACACCAGATTTAGTTGTGTGGCTAGAGACCTGAGATAGAGCTCATTTAACCAGAACTTTAATCACAATCACTTTGGTTGAAGCATACTGATGGCTGTTACCTGTGTTCATCTATGTCCATTTTACTATGTTAAAATTGCACGTTGTCCCCAGTACGTAGAAGCGGTAGAGAAAGTGAATGTCCAAGTGTTTTTTTTTTGGCCCTGAATATTGTCTGCAGGCTCCAAAGCCTACTGCTACTGCCAAGTGAAGGTTGGTGATAGATCAATCGGCCGGCCGATTAATCAGGCCAATTATCATTGTCATTTTGGGATAATCTGCATCGGCCGTTGCCTGCGCTCATGAGGCAGAATAACATTAGGCTGCTGTGGAACAATGCTCACGCTCCTCTTCTTGAGTTTTGGGAAAATTAGTTTAGAGTCCTTTACTATAACTCTCAATGCATCCTGCTGTAAATGTTAACACGTTTCTCCTAAATGACAGCAATATACCGTTACTGGGTAGCGTTAAATATGTATTATGCTGTAATGTTTAGAATAATACGGTTGAATGATGTTTCTTCTGACATACTGTACCAGTCACAATCTGAAATATACATTTTATGTGCATATTAATAATATACATAACCCAATGTACTTCATTAATTAATACAAATTCCATCAAAAAACAAGTTACAACAACTAGATAACCATGTATATTAGATTGTAATGTGGGTTAGGAGTTAGGGTTAGGGTTACATGGATAGATAGGTAGATAGATAGATAGATAGATAGATAGATAGATAGATAGATAGATAGATAGATAGATAGATAGATAGATAGATAGATAGATAGGTAGGTAGGTAGGTAGGTAGGAAGGTAGATAGATAGATAGATAGATAGATAGGTAGATAGATAGATAGGTAGATAGATACTTTATTCATCCCCAAGGGGAAATTCACATATCTGCATTATCTCTAAATATCAGCCATTGAAAAAGCCATATCTGTCAAGCACTAGTGTATAGCTTTCAACAAGCTCAACCAATCAAATAGTTAGTGTAAGCTGTTTGTTGGAAGGGCTGTCTGAGATGTGAAACCCACACTGAGCTCCCAACACAAAAGCTACTAATTAACACCACAATTGACGAGTGAGTGATGTTTTGAGCACGCTGCTGTTCATGAAGAAACCCATTCTGACTTTTCAGCGGCTCTCAGTCATTTGCGGTGAATGTGGAGCTTACTGGTTTTTTATTGCATTTTATTTTCCCTCATGTCTGTTTTATTTGTATGATGTGCATGTTTTTTATCCCAAATGTCCCAAAGTCTCTACAATTCTCTGATCAGTTGACTCATTTTTTTCATCCAGTTTATATGTGTCATGATACAAGATATTACCTTATTGGGGTCAGAGTTCCTTTTAAACTTAGAGTATCTTGTTTATTATCTGCAGGTTTGCTCGGCTGGATTAGTGTGGTATATGTGTCAGTTTATGAGGGGCCATAAACTGACACATATTAACGGTTTACTCTACAACCTTTGTGTTCTCCTGATTCTCTCTTCCCTGCCCACTCCAGATAACGCCAAAAGCTGACTTGTGCAACACCTTAGGACTGATAAACCAGTTAGGACACATAAAGGATAGAGCGAATATGGATCTCTTTATTGTAGCCATCATTTCATGGCATGCAGTGTGTCCATTAAGTCAGAGATAATGTGCACTTATTCCCCATTAAGATTCAGATTGTTGTGTTGGTTTGAATCCCACTTTGACACTTAAAAGTGGTTTAACTGGTTTCCTTGTAAATACAGAGACATTAAGACACTATAGAGTATTGTGCATGTGTTTATCAATTAAATGTAAGCACACACGCACACATACTTACCCAGTGACTTTCTCTGCAGGTTGTCAGCGTCCAGTGGGTCTTTCCAGAGGAAAAGCAAAGGTCTGCTACTACAGCGGCTGGTACTACTGCCACAGCTGCCATCAGGACAACTCCTTCCTCATCCCAGCACGCCTGCTGCACAACTGGGACACCAGCAAGCACAAGGTGGGAAAGCACACAACTATATGAAAATACTCACCATCTCAAGCTGGTACAGTAAGTGTCCAGCTCTCAAAGTGTGCAGTTTCTTATTCACAGTGATTGGAACATCAGCAGGGTTTCTTTGGGTCTTATAAAGCCTTGTAATGTTTTTAAGTATTAGGAAACATATAAACATTAGGGCACCATTAAACAGCCACTGCTGTGTAAGTACTCAGTTTTATGTAGTCTTCAAGTTGTCCCCATTTAACAAATTCCCCTTAATCTGGATCACATTTTATAGTCTTATTTTCTTCAAATAAAAGTGTTAAATAAGGATTAAATAGTTTCAGTTTTTTTATTTCAGAAAGTTTTCTGAACAAACCCCTATGGAATTTTCTAAAGCTGCGTTCACTTTAGCCCTGCGTGAAAAAATGCAGCCCTTTCATTCATTTGAATGGAGCCAGTCCGATGACACAGAGGGTCATAGCAGTAAAGTTTAACCAGGCTTAACTTTTGCCGCAGTGTAACATCATTCAGCAAGGTGCTGCAGTGGCAAATCAAATACATGCAAGGGCACGCAACGTGAAAGCTGTATTTCTACTTTTGAAATGTGAAGCTACCTTGCTTAGCTTTGGTTAGCTTAGCTTAAGCATAAAGATTGGGAAAAGGGGAAACAGCTAAAGGTAAAGCTTGCTAATTAATACATCATATCTCAGTTGTTTAATCTGTTTGAAAAAGTTTTGTTAATATTCATAGCCTTGTATCATTCATTAGCATAGTTGACTGTACAACTTGGTAGGTTTGGTCCGTTACATATCTGAGGTTCTTGGTGCAGTGACCCTGATGTAAACTCTGCTGTGCTCCTCAAGGTGTCTAAACAGGCCAAGGAGTTCCTGGAGTTTGTGTATGAGGAGCCCCTTCTGGACGTCCAGCAGCTCAACCCTTGTCTGTACGAGCACTGTGAGCCTCTCAGCACTGTGCTGCGTCTCCGTCAGCAGCTCCAGTCACTGCGGGCCTACCTGTTCAGCTGCCGAGCAACCATCGCAGAGGACCTCAGACGAAGGTAGGTTGGTGGTGACGTCTATTGTGGAGTTCTTAATTAAGTTTCCCAACATCTTTATCTTGTAACCCCTTAAAATGAAGCGATGTCTAGTTGCAAACCATCATTATAGGTTGAATATGTCCATGGTTGTGAACACTCTTTTTTTCTTTTTGAGAGGTCCATAGAAGTCAAATTATTAAATATTTCACGTGAAATAAAGTTTGAAATACAATATTTTGTATAGCAGGTATACTTTTTTGGGCTTGCCTTTCACATAATCCCTCAGATTTAACTTGCAACCCCTTGGGTGAATCTGACACCCAGCTGGGTTCCCCTGATATAGAGGTATGAAACACAGAGCACAACAGTACAACTGAACACAACAGAAGTCCAATATAACAAATAGGAACACATGGGACGGCTTTGGCTCTGAGGCAGAGCGGGTCGTCCCCTAATCAAAAGGTTGGTGGTTCGTTCCCCGGCTCCTCTCGCTGCATGTCAAAGTGTCCTTGAGCAAGATACTGAACCCCAATTTGCTCGCATTGGTGTTTGAATATGTATGGATGTGTAGTTTCTGTTCTAATGAGCAGTGATAAATCAGTGTATGAATGGGTGAGTGTGGCATGTAGTGTATAGCGCTTTGAATTGTCGAAAGACTAGAAAGGCGCTATATAAGTACAGTCCATTTCATTTCCATATTTTATACATTTAAAATGTATCTTGTGAAGGGAATTAGGATTTAAAGTTATTTTCTATGCACAGCTATTATTTTCATGGTTAACAATAACTGCGTGTGTCACACTAACTGATAAATATTTGTTATATTACTCTGTTGACACTTAATGCATTTGTGTACACACACATATACATATACAGTATGTGCTGCATATACATAAAAGATGTGTGCCTGTGTGTATATGTTCGTGTGTGATGGGTGGAGGGTTGGTTGGAGGGTTGGTTGGGGGGGGGGGTGGTGTTTATCTGAGTGGGGTCCCACACTGAAAGCCTTGTCTATGAGCTGATTGATGCTCCTTGCCCCTGTGCAGGTCACTAATACACTCTGATCCACTCTGTCTAAAGGAGAATCTTCCACCTCAGCAGAACCTGATTAATATTCTGTCAGTATAATGTATAAAAAAAAAAAAGAAAAATCTCAGTGACCAGCAACACTATCTAGTCATACAAATCATTCTTTCTTCTTTGTTCAAGGTAGTTACAAAGACATGTGTTCAGCGAGGTCTGTGGATTATCAGGAGTAACAAGGATGTTGTTTTATGTCAATTTTTGAAAGCTAACACCACCACCAACGCTTCAATAGTATTCAGGTGGCAGCAGAAATCTCAAAGACTGAGATCTGTGTCTGTAATTCCTGTCCATTAATTACAGTAAATAGAAATCAATGGAAAAGCAAAATATTATATTTTATTTTTAAATCTAAGCTAAATATGTATGATCACATCTGCTGTTAACTCTGCCTATGACAGTAGAAGGTGGAAAAAATGCTACAAAATCTATAAATAAAATGAAATGAAACCTGAAGCTGTTAACTGCAGCAATGCAGGGATAATAAAGGAACATGTTGAAGCTCACTGCGGGTTTGGGCGTATTTAACTTCCTCTGAGCCATGTTTTTATGTTAATGCTAAAAGAAAGTTTGGAAAATGTATCGATTATATCAACATCAGATGCTTAAACTGTACAGTATGATTTGTATAAACATCCTTATTTTTAAGGAGTTTTAATGTCCCACTATTAAAATGTTTTTTTCTTGACTTGCCAAGCAACTTCAAACCAAAACTACTGACGTTTTTATGAGCCTTAAAAAAACCCATATTAGTCATACCCTGTTGCAACGCAGAGACGAGCAGCATCATGGCTTTCTGTGTTTACTTCTGTCCCATTAGCTAGTGCCGGCTAGTGCCCCGCAACTTCTAAACACTGCAGGATTGATGAGGGCCATGGCGCTAAAACCTTCCCCTTGTCATCAGTCTACTTCAGGGGGGGATCTGAAGAGAGATGTCTGGTGCATATAGGCAGAGAGCAATGGATACACAATCACACACACAGCCACATGAGGCACTAAAGGCTGTAAGGCAGAAAACAATGCATGTTTTGCCCTGTGCAGCAGTACTCCAACACTATCAGAGGGTTACATCTGTGACAGAAAGGAATCTTTGACTGGCTTAATATGACATCTTTTATTATTTTATTGTCAAAGTTCAGTGAAGGTGTGAACTGATCTCAGTATATAAAGCTCATAGGTAATTGTGTTTGTAGCAAATGAGGTTGGAGGATGTAGAATGTGTCCTTATAGGTACAGAAATAAGAATTTCATATGCACGCCACATACTTTGACCACAAGGAGTCTTGGTTTATACCGGATAAGAAACACTGTTTGAGGTCAGGCCTGAGCAAATCAATTAAACGTTTGCTTATCCCCCATTGCCGCACCTGTCAAACCTCCATTCTAGCAGACTAAATAATGTTTACAATGATAATGGTGGCAGATTTACCAGTGAAACAATGGGTACTTGATATCAGACTTCATGTTATTTAAAGGTCCCGTGTGTAACATTTAGGAGGATCTATTGGCAGAAATGGAATATAATATATAGGACAATGTGTTTAATCACCTGAAAATAAGAACCGTTATGTTTTTGTTACCTTAGAATGAACCTTTTATATCCACACAAACTGCGGGTCGCCTTCCATGGAGGTCGCCATGTGGAACCGCCATGTTTCTACAGTAGCCCTAGTTTCTTGTACACTGCAGGTTTATTGCTAGATGCCATTAAGTCCTACACACTGGTCCTTAATTATTATTCATATAAAAGTGGATATGATAGTGGATGTTACAATATTTTCATACATTTGAACTGTCATGTTTGCATTTGTACTACAACCACATGGATTGGAAAACTATTTATTTGTTAGTGTTAGTCAGTTTATCCATTACTATAGCTAACTCCTCTGTCTCCTCTGCTCTGGGTGGGTGATTTTCAGTAAAGAAAAAGTATTTTTTTCTTTCGATTATGAAGTTTGATTGTTTTATAGAATATATATATATATATTTATTTATATATTTATAGAATAATTTCTGGTTAAAAAACAAACCTGAGGACTGACATATAATTAAAATGTTAACACCACAGTAAGTTGTGTCAGCACTTGTTGACACTGTGTAAGTATAAATTGACGTTTGACAAAGATAAGATTTATTGCTGAGATATTTTTTTCGGTTTGCATTAGATTGTAATGTGTTTGTCCACCCCCTACACACACGCACGCACGCACACACACACACACACACACACACACACACACACACACACACACACACACACACACACACACACACACACACACACACACATACACACACACACACATATTTGCAGGACTTCCTACATCTGCTGGTTCACACACACTTACTCAGGTCAGACCCTCCTTCAGTACACGATCAGAATCACGGAGCGATAACGCATAGCAAATCTTAATGGAAGGTGTGTCTGTTGGACTGAAAAGAGTGCTGAGAATAGTGGAATAAAATATGGAATTAAATACTATCAGGTATAATCCCAATATGGTCAGCATACATGCATGGATCTGTGTATCTTCTGTTTGTAATCTAATCCTAAAATGTGGTCATTCTCAAGCACTTTTATCAAGATCAACACACACTTTAAGGGTGTGTTCATCTAGGCACTGACTACACAATCAACAAGGAGCATGTGTGTGTTTGATTATTGGAGCTGAGAGTGTGTGTGTGTGTGTGTGTGTGTGTGTGTGTGTGTCTTATGAATGCTGATGTGGTTACCATTGGTAACATACCAAACAGAGAAGTTTATCAGTGGTGCCTATCAACATTAGGTGCCTGGATCTCACACACACACACACACACACACACACACACACACACACACACACACACACACCTATCTCTCTCTCTCACACACTCTCACTCTCTCTCTCTCTCTGTCCCCCCCCCCCCCCTCTCTCTCCTCTCTCCCCACACACACACACACACACACACACACACACACACACACACGTATGAATACAGATACACATACTTGTGTTTTGGTGACACTCATCACAGCTTAAAAAGGATTTAACATGGTGCCATCAATCTTAGTGATCTGAGAGGAGGCCTCACAACACACACACACACACACACACACACACACACACACACACACACACACACACACACACTCTCTCCTGTCTGTGTTTTGTCACATATTAGACGATGGAATGCTACTGACTCTAGATTAATGTCACTACTTTCTTTAGCACCGTGGACTGAAAGGCTGCTGGTTAAACATTAAGTCACTGTAATGCTCATATTTAACTACAGTATGTGATCATTGTTCCATTTTTATATGCTCACAAGACCGAGCCTTTTATTTTGAAACTGGCCTGCACGGTGAGTATTAGGAACAGGTTTCACTTACAAAAGAAGAATACAAACTTTAACTTCAACCTGAATTCAGTTTGTGTGTAATCAGAGTCACATTTACTGAGGCAGGCAGTCACCTAGCTCAGACAGCTAATGACCTTGGCTTACATCATTAGCTTCCTGAAGAAGAAATGAACCTAACACCAAGGTTGCTGGCAGTACACAGGGACACAGTGGCCATCTCAGGCTCATCACAGTGTTGCCTGAAGGTTGTCGGTGGTTTTTGGTGATGGTGGTGGTGCAAGACATGAATGTGTCCAATATAAAAGACAATATGTCTGCAATTAACAGGCACTCCTTGACATAAAGTGATTATCTGCAATACATTGAGTCAGTTTTATTGTATGTAATGAAAACAGTGCACATCATTATATGTGAAATTGTACTTTATCTAATGGGCACAACTGGACTCTTTATAGCTGGTTAAAGTTTTTTGTACCTTTTAAGTTTTCCAAATACATATTTCCTGCTTTGCTCAGAAGTATATTAATTTTTATTCTATTCTTTATTGTGTACATTGCTTTGAAGTATCATAATTGAGCTCCTCTGTATACTGAGTATTGTATATGGGAATAATGACTGTAAAAGCCAGCTGGGAACTGTGGTTATTATTTTGACTGAAGTTGCAGGATGATATGTTGTGGCATTTAAGAAAATATGCTGAACATACTTACAGATCTTATCTACATTTTAACTGACATAACTGGCCTCCACAAACACATCAGTTTTTGGAGTGGGAGGGAAGTAAACACATCACTTGCTTCACAGACAATGATGCCTTAAAACATTTTCTTTTCTTTTCACAGGATCTTCCCCAGAGAATACCTGCTACAGCACATTCACCTGTACTCCATGGCTGACCTGCAACAGGTACACACACACACACACACACACACACACACACACACACACACGCTTGTATGTATACTGTTACAGCGATGTCATTCACATGTCTATAAGAACCAAAACTAAACAGATATAGAAAGCATCCATCCCTTTCAGTTTTGACCTTAAATCGGTGTGGTTCTCTGCCCTTTTATGATAAGATTCAGTTTAAATGAAGATTTAAAGGTTATACATATGATATTCACTTGCCTCTGGGTGTCCTTCTAGAGCACAAAAAAAAAAAAAAAAAATTAAATATTATTTTTTTTTTTTTTTTTTTTTTTTTTTTTTTATTTTAAAAAAATCTTTTTTTTTTTTTAAAAATAAAATTTTTTTTTTTTTTTGGGGAGGAAAGCCACCCACATAATTTTCTCTACTTTTTTTTTTTTTTTTTTTTTTTGCTGGTTTTTTTTTTTTTTTTTTATAAAAAATTTCCCCCCACAAAAAATTTTTTTTTTTATAAAAAAAAATTATTTTTAATTTTTTTTTTTTTTTAAAAAAAATTTTTTTTTTTTTTTCCTTTTTTTTTTTTTTTTTTTTTTTTTTTTTGGGGGGGGGGAAAAAAAAAATAATTCCCCCCCATTTTTTTTTTTCTTTCCTCTTTTCTTCTTTTTTTTTTCTGTGGTTTGGGAAAAAAAACCTCCCCCCCCAAAAAGAGAAGATAAAAAGGGGTTTTTTTTTTTTTTTTCCACACGGGGGGGACCCTCAATGTAAACAAACCACAGAGAGGCCACGATAGCAAGACAGGCAGAGGGAGAGTGACGTAACTCTCTGCACTGGGTATCATGACTCCAATATATCATTACATAGCAAATTGTTGTTTGCTGCAAATTAATTAAGTTAGCTACAGCTACATGTGCTAACATTAGTGACTTTTATCCTGCACTATTCAATCTGTTTCCTGATGTTAAAATAAATCATTCAAATGAGAAAAACATGAGAAAATAGCTGAACACTAATACATTAGTTGACACCAGCTAAGCTGACAAGTTAGCTAATTTAGCTTGCTAGCTTGCAAATGTTCGCCAGCCATGCGGCACGATTGTTAACACATCAGCGAGCTACACTGTTGTATTGGGTGACATGTTCACACACTTTGACTGAATCCCACTTTCCCCGTCCTGCTGCCCCAAATACTCACTAGTGCACCAAAAGTTTATTAATCCGCCCCTGAAAATAGTCCATCAAATGTAATGTAACGTTTCTGGAAACTTAATACCGAACGACCTGTTTTTAAAGATTTATCTTCAGCATAAAATAATAGGCATGGAATTAAAAGCCACAGACAGAGTAGAGAATGAAATAGTAAGAGACAAACTAGTTGGACTTTTTGTTGCTATTGTTGACAATAGGAAAAACATAGAATAACCCTTGCCTTATCCTTTAAGGAAACATAACCTCTCCTTTTGTATCTTTGGCAAGTGTCCATCTCATAACAGTGATAAGAGAGGGTAATACCCGCTAATAGCCCTATTTAGAACAGGGTTAGCTCTTTCAAGTGTCATAATCCAGAAAAACAATGGTCTTGGTGGAAAGAATTCATATCTGGCGTCGTGGAAACCTTTAACTCTGTCCATTATTTTCCAACATCAAGACACCTCATTCTGCATTATCGCTTATTTGATCAGCAGATTTTCTTATCAAATAGCAAACTGTTCATACCAGTTACACCGCCCACATCTGTTTTAATTTTGTTATCAGGAGCATGTATTAAGGATCATTTAAATGTGTTTTATTTTAATATGAAAGTAGAGAAATTCTTTTTTAGCTGAGATCCTTAAAAAAGGAAACATCCTGGCCTTTCAGCAGTTCAGTATCTAGTCGTTGAACTGAGTTGGGGGTCAGAGCAAAGCGACCGCAAATGACTGAAAAGTTCTTTTGTTTGTCATTATGTTCATTATGTTGTACCCTGCCCCATTTTTTTTCTTTCACCCCTCTCTGACTCAGAGCTTGGCCACAGACTCTCACGCTGAAAGAGATTGGACCCCCTCCTCTTCCTCCTCCTCCTCCTCCTCCTCCTCCTCCTCCACTCCCACACTCTGTGTCTCTCTGCTTCACTAATTGGTCACATTCAGAATCAACAGGCAGAAAAACAAAGCGTGACATCCCTCCATTCTTCCCAACATCCCCTTGGCCTCACACACGCTCAACACACATGTGTCTTATGTGTGTGTGTGTTCTTCACTCTCTTTTTCCATACTAAACTCTGACTTAAATATAAACCCTGAGCTAGTCATTGAGTACTAATTTTAACAATAGGTGTCTTTGGTAGAGTCTGCACAGCTCCCTCTTCTCTTTTCCTCCCCCTCTAACCTCCCCTCCCTCCCTCTCATGGAGATTCTCAAGCACTGTGCCTCTTAATTGGTTTTCCATATTAACAAGCTTGTTTCTTTTGATTCACCTCCTGAATAAAATGACGCTCTTAATCAACATGGCTTTTTTTGTTCCAGCTCAGAGGTCAGTGCAGGCTCAACTCCCCTGGCTAAACCCTGGACCACACTAGTCTATTCACCTCCCGACAAATAGCCTCCACCCATATCCCCTATTAGGAGCCAGTTCATTTGGAGAAAACATATGTGTTTGTCTAAGGACACTCTGCCCTTTTCCTCTGCTGGTTTTAAGGATTGTTTCTAGGGTTTTGTGTGAGGGCTAAGGACTAAAGCAGTAGGAAAGTAAGTGTGTGTGAGTGTTTGTGTCTGTGTGTGTGTGTGTGTGTGTGTGTGTGTCCGTTTTTGTGTGTGTGTGTGTCCGTGCAGCAGGCTTCCCACAGTGACACCCTGGCATTCCCTCTATGCCAGGCATGCCTCTCCACTCACACTTGTCCAGATACACAGAGGCCTCTTAAGTAAATGTTAAAAGTTCTCAGAAAGATTTCCCGTTTCTGCTCATGGCTTTGAGTGTAAGTGGAGCTTTTACTCTCAAATGGAAAAAAACAAACAATACTGAGTTATATAATGAGGTCAAATAAGACAATGTAAATGTAGAAATTGGGCAGCAATTATGTAATGGAAAAGATTTATCTTAAGGTTTAAAGAGTTAACGCCTTCAATGCTACAACACATTAAAGGAAGCGTTGTTTTCGCGTTAAGAGGTTACGCTGTAGCTGACTGCGCTTCCTCAAAAATGTAACTATACGTCGGGGCTGAGAGTGACTACCATATAATGCAAGCTGAAAAAAGGCTCAGTTATCTCCTCATTTTCAGTAACGCACATCTGGAAAAACCATTTCCACTATCACAGTGAATGAAACAACATAAATACTGCAACTGCACGGAATAGACTTATATTCAGTAATGACTCAAGTTGGAGCGTCCCACTGTCACTTTCAGCATAAAGTAAATAAAAGAGTGTGAGCGTTACTGTGTGGAATATAATTAAAACATGATACAGCTTGATATATCTATCTAGTGTTTCAGTGGTGCAATTAATATGAGAAATCCAACGCCCCAAAAACACCCCATCCTATTAGAGCTAGATCAATAAATCACCCAGGTCGATATATTGTCCGATACCAGCTTATTTCCAAAATACAGTTTGGCTGATGAGTCACAAGAAGGTGCAGGACAGAAATGCCAAACTTGGTTTGAGGTAACTTAGAAAACAGTGTCACCATTTCAGAGTTCGCCCATCGTAGAGCACTGGTAAGATATTAATCCATCCGTTATCGATGGATTATTTGGGAATGTTCAGCAACCAACTTTAAGATTTTAAATTTTACTTCAGAAGCTGGAAGAGAAGAGCCTGTTTACGGGTAAGGGTTGGGTCCTTAAAAGTATTCATGTTGTGTTTCATATATATGTTGGTAATAGCTCGAGGGCTTATTCTCACACCACTGTGGTGGAGTCATCTTCCTGTCCGTCAAAGGAAGGAGAGTGTCAATATCTTTGCAGTTATTGTCATCATTATGGAGTCATTTGAGCTCTTTTTGTACAGCACTTACACAAAACGCTAAATGCCTCTTATAACCACTGAAAAACTCCAGTTTTCCTCTGGACTTTACTTCCCATGATTCAAGTCCTCTGAGAGCAGTGATCCAGCTTCATTGTTTTAAAGAGAATTTTATTGCTGTTCATTGTCAAAATACCAAAGCATACAATTTTAATTCTTTGTAGCTGCTACATCTCATTCCCTTTATCACTGGACACAACATCCGGTTTCTGGACTTTTTTGTTCAGTTTAGTTTGTTTTTGATTTTTTCATCAGGCTGTTAAGGTTGGTCAATGCATCTATGAAGGTTTCAAAATGTGCCCCTCTGCTGTGTACATCTTCTCATCTGGTACATTACTCCAAATTTTGGGGAATCCCCTGATAAGACAGGCTCCACCATGCATACACTGACAACAACATACATCTTCTGTGTGCGTGTGTGTGTGTGTGTGTGAGAGAGAGAGAGAGAGAGAGAGAGAGAGAGAGAGAGAGAGAGAGAGAGAGAGGGAGAAAAAAAAAGAGAGGTGTTATCCAAACAGAGCTCACCCTGGTCTTTCCAGCCATGTAATCCCAGCTGGCTTTCTAGTTCCTCAATGGAGCTACGGTTGTGTGTGTGTGTGTGTGTGTGTGTGTGTGTGTGTGTGTGTGTGTGTGTGTGTGTGTGTGTGTGTGTGTGTGTGTGTGTGTGTGTGTGTGTGTGTGTGTGTGTGTGTGTGTGTGTGTGTGTGGAGAGAGAGAGCGAGTGAGGAGGGCAGGCGAACGGCTGTTAAACAGCAGTTTTAGGGGATTAGGAGGTTTTGGAGCACAAAGACTCTGCGTGGAGTAGAGAAAGAGGTTGAACTGGAGGGGGAGGAGTTTAAGAGGATGGATGGAGGGAGAGGAGTTGAATTGTGTGTGTGTGTGTGTGTGTGTGTGTGTGTGTGTGTGTGTGTGTGTGTGTGTGTTTGGGGGTGTTTGGAGGGAAAGAGGGTGAAGGGAATGTGAATACATCTGGAGGGTTTGTCCTGTATTCTGCTCTACAATCATATTGTAAATATATTACAAACATACTTAAAAGTTATCTTCCACCTTTGCACTGTTCACAAATTCTGCATTGTGTTTTAATCTTGGTACTACTGCAAAGTTCAGACAAGCTTACTGGGATTGATCCAGTGTCATTGCTCTGGTTAGCAGCTCCAACTGACAATGCCAATTACTGTAAGTCTGGGTTGTGCCCCAAAGCAGAATATTCAGACAGCTACATAGTTCCTTGAACTATTGAACCACAGGAACTAGACTAAAAGTCCCTTTTCCGTGTTCTTGATTGCGTTTCCAACACATCTGGAGAATCGTGAATAATCCAAAATTAGACTGTGGAATAAAAAACGATGGTGGCATTTGACACACATTTTTACACTCCAAAGAAATAACAACCCTGTTGTTCTTTCTTGAGTTGCGCTTGGAGACTCAAATGTTTGATTTAGACAGACCCCCTGTCTCCAAAGTAGACTGTCTGTAGAGGGTTTGATGGTTATCTATTTCTACTTTAGAAGACAAAAGAAACAATTGGCTAATAGAGTTTTATTTGTCTTGGACGTCTGTGGCTCAGGAGGTAGGGGTAGTCTACTAATCAGTAGGGGGTCGGTTCCTCCATCCAGTCTGTATGTCAGAGTATCCTTGAGCAAGATACTGAACCCCATATTTGTGAGTATGTGTGAATGGGTGTCATTGTCAATGTGTGTGTGAATGGGTAAATGGGTAAATGTTGACGTCTGTTGTAAAGCACTTTAAGTGGTCATTGGACTAGAAAAGCACTATATAAATCCTTACCATGTACCATTTATTCACCCGCTTTTTGTTTCTCTCATCGCCTCTCCCTCTCTTCCAAAAGGGGACACTGACATCTTAAATGTGTACTTTAAAATCTGTAGCCACGCTGTACTGTGCTGTCCATTCAGTGTGGGCTCCATAAGGCCGACAGACAGAAGTTAGTCCGACCCAGCTGATCCTGAACGCCCATCTGAGCTCTGAGAGATCTGCCAGCAGCCCTGCTACTGGTTGGCCCAGACACTCAGGACAGCCATCAATATTTTGCTTCGTTATTGGATGTGGGCGAGTGTACAAATTAAAAGGGTTGAAGTTGGAAGTGTCTGAATGACTGTCCCAGTATGACCCTGCTGCCCACTGCTACTTTGGTGTAGCTAATAAAATGGTCTCTGGATATTCATAGCTAGCAGTAACAGCAGGGATATACGGGTTTTAAGTAAATGGAGGTAAAGGTTTGTGAATTTAGAGAAATAAATGTGATGATATCGCTGGTAAATCGAGTATTTCTGCATTTATAATGTGAGATTGTCTCCAGGCTTTTTCTTTATATTGTCCTATTCCTCTTTTGTGTGTCCATTTACTTCTGTCACTCCATCCATCCATCTTTCTGTGCCTCCCTCCTTTTTTCCCACCATCCCTCCAGAGTCAGCCACCAGAGCTGTGCTGCCAGTCGTTTGATTCTGCCCAGTCCAATTATAGAGGGCCTTAATTCCTGAGCCTGTCAGCCTCCATCAGGAGAGCCATTCGTCATGTGGACTGGGCTGGACCGGACTGAGCGGGGCTGCTTAGGCTTAGGCTTGGTGTGGGCTGTGCTGGGCAGAGGGGGACACGTATATTTGTCTGTCACTCTCAGTACCTGCCTGTCTGTCTGCCTGGAAACATTTATCATCCATGCTGGACTGAGCTTTTCCTCCCTCACATGAAGAACATTAAATTAAAGACACTTACAGACTGTAAAACAACACTTTCTCTTTCTGCTTAAGGTCCAACACGTGGAAAGCATTTCCTACCTAATAAAACATTTGTAAAGACCATTTTTGAATCAAAATTCAGATCTCATTGCAGACTGGCGTCCATGTTTATCACAGTGTGCATAGAACAACTGTAAGAGCTGCCCGTATGCACATAAAACACCTGCTATCAATCAGCAATGATAAATTGTAAGAAAATAATAAAAATGTCCCAAAGCTCGAGGTGACATCTTAAAGTTGCTTGTTTTGTCCGGCCAAGAGTAAGAAATGAAACTCTGGAACGTGTAACATCAGCCGTGTGCATGAGACTCACACATACAAAAACAGCTCCATAGCTCCTCCCGGGGTCATACACTCCACTGGGTACCTTTGAGCAAGGAGATGGTTAGCCTAGCTCAGCCTAACAACTGAAAACAGGGTCAACAGCCTGACTCTCTCCACAGTTCAGAAACATCCTACCCGAACCTCTAACGCTCACTAATAAGTTAATTCTCGATTGTTTAATCCCTAGACAAACAGAATTGTAAAAACAAGAATTTGTGGTCCAGATGGATTTACATGCTCTAACAACCCGGCACTTCCCAGAGACTTGCCACAGGTTTCCAGACAACCAGAGCTAGAGACACAGAAGTGCTGTGCAGATTGATAAAATGTTCTTTATCTAAAAATATTTTAAGTATTTTACTTAAGTTTTTACATTTTTAAATATCTGTACATTTAATACATCTAATTACATTTTCAAAACTGTCTTGTAACTTACATTTTCCAACTAATAATCGATTATTATTTTTTTTGCATCATTGTATGCCTTCCCAACATCAGGACAAGAGCATATCACACATGACAGAATAACAAGACGAGAGAAAGAGTGAGACTTGACCCTCTGATGTCTTTGCACAGAATCAGCTGGTCCTTTAGAGAAACCAACTTACTTTTTACTTTTATACTTAGAGTAGATTTCAGAGCCTATACTTTTCCACATTTACTTGATTAAAGAAGTTGAATCAGTACTTATTTTTTTTTACATAAGTATCTGTACTTCTACTTGAGTAAAGAATGTGTGTACATTTGTCACCTCTGGTGGTTGGAAAAAAAGCAGGCACTGTGTATCAATGAACCACATAATGTAGTCAAAGAGCAAAAGCACCTTTGACATCTTTGAGGTGTTATTTCTCAACTCATTCATAACAGTCGTGGATGTGGCTGTGCAGGAATTCATTCATTCATTCTTTATCAAACCTACAAAGCTCTGATTGGACAGTGGTTTTTCCAACCTGGGACACAGCCGTCTGATCTGATCTGGGGGCTGATTTAGAGCTCTGTTCTGATATTGGGACACATTTTAGCTCTCGTAGCAAATTGCTTGTTTTCTCATGTTTGTACTACAACACAAAATGAATGACCCGCGGCTGCAGCCCTGAACTGTTCTACTGTAAATCTGGAGCCCACCAAGTCATGCTAGAGGCTGACGACACCGCTGGGAATAGATCCTGTTTTAGTGAGATATTGGTCTGAAACATCCCTCTCCTGTTGGCCTGAGACTGATCATTTGATATCATAGATTGCACATAAGGGCACAGTATGGGTTGTTATGGTAAAAGCCTTCACTGTAAAGTCTAATTGACTTGGGCACTGGCGCATGATTTACTGTAAACAGGACCAGTATACCTCAGTGTGCAATGTTTCCTCTGTGTGTGTGGCTTCTTCCTCCTCTCTCCATCTCATGTCCTCCTCTTCTCCTCTCGTCCTTGTCGTGTAACAAACAGCATGAAGGAGGTTATAATTGGGAGGTCCAGGGCTCTGCCAGGTGGAACCACTTGTATCTGAATACAGGCTCTCGCTCTCTCTCAAGATCTCTCTTGCATATTGTATCTCTACCACTCTTTCTCATACTTTATACTCTGTTTTTCTCTCTTACGCTCTCCCTCCCTGTCTTACATGCACTCTCTCATTACGTGTATAGCTCTGTCTGCGTTATTAACATACGACCATATTGAGTTTTTATTTCTGTAACATTCTGCGCGGCTTTTCTTTTCACTGCTTTTCCCGGTGAGTCATCCACTGTCTATTCACTAGAATATAACTCCAGACCCCCGCCACCAAACCCCCCCCCCGCCACCCCAGTTCTTTAAGGAACCTGCCAAGCGTTGCCATTAAAAGGCGTTCACCTCATTTACTGTCTTCTTTCCTTCCTTCCTTCAGTTTCCTCTCCTCCTGCTTTACTTTGGCATTTTTCTTTCTTGTAGTGGTTTTAAAAGAATTCATTGAAAATAAAGACATTTTTAACTCATCTCAAAACCGACCAGTTCCTCTAATTGTAATATTCCTCCAGTTTTTCCTCCTTTTTTCCTCATGTTTCTCTCAACTCCCCTTTTCACAAGAAGTTTTTGCCACACGTTTAAACACTTCCAGGTCTCTTCACACTGCCACAGTGAAACATTACCAAAGGCCACCTTTGTGTGTATTTAGTATCTCTCAATCTGACTTTCTGTAGGCCAAATCTTTCCTTTGAAAAACAGCTGCCTTAGGCTGTAGACCAATGGTAGGTGACCTGCGACTTTGGAGCTGCATGCTCTTCCTGTGGCTTTGACAAAAAATTATATTTTTTTATTGTCAAATTGGCTTCTGTGAAACATTTTGGTCATAGATACTACATGGGACATTCCCCTTGTCAATTGTTAGTCTCATTTAATTAATTGCTTTCTACATTAATATTAAACATTAATTATATGTAGCTGAATATCATTGATCAGCGTGTCCACTCTGATCCTTTGTCAAACAGTACCTGGACGTTTTGTCCCTGTCACACATGCTTTACCACCTTTAATCACCTTGTTGCAATTGTATTTGTATCCCTAAGATGGAGGAGAACAATTTTGCCGCCATGAAAAGTTCCCGGAGTGTAAACTGCTCTTAAGGAAGGGTCTTCAAACTAGATTACTTGTTTGGCATTTTTAGTTTCTCATATTTCATCCACACTAATGCAGACCCATGTAGCCTGTCACAGAGTTAATGTTGGCATTTGAGGTTGCTCACCATGTCCTTTCTCCCCCTCTTCTGTCCTCTTGCTCCAGGTGATTGATGGAAAACTGGCTCCCTTCTTGTCCAAAGTGATCAAATTCGCCAGCTCCCATGTTTTCAGCTGCAGTCTGTGTCGAGAGAAAGGCTTCATCTGTGAGCTCTGCCACAACGGACAGGTCATCTACCCCTTCCAGGAGAGTGCCACCAAGAGGTACAGAGAACCTTTCTATACATTTGAACATTTACTTAAACACTGCACTGATAGCTCCCAGCAAATGTAACTGAACAGAGCCATGTTTCAATGTCAAATAAACATCACAAAGCAGAACAAGCACTGGAGTATATAGACGCAAACACATTAATCACCGTTTGGCACAAGTCTTGATTCAGTGCCATCAAGAGTGTCACTTTTTATGATTTCCTGGTGTTGATTCAGGAACATTGCACTCTCATGAAGGCTTCTATCTAAAATCACTGACCTTTAAAGGTGCAGATTGAACATGGAGCAAATGCCTCACTTTAGTTTACAAAGTTTGACCATGAGAGTGTTTTTATTCACAAACAGTCAACTTTTTTAAGTACAGACTTAAAAAACTAATAATTGTGGGGCTTTTACTGCCTTTAATGGATAGTGACTGCTGAAGAGTGACAGGAAAAGGGGGGACAGGCAGCAAAGGGCTACTGGTTGGGGTCTAACCCGTGGCCGCTGTAGCAAGGACTCTCCCTTTGGTACATAGCTCCACCAGGTGAGCTACCAGACTGTACAAACTTTAGCTAGTTTACAATGTAATGTGTGTTTGTCTCACTTTGTGCAGACCAGATTAAATCTGTCAGCAGAAGCGCCTGGAGAGGTTCTTCACGAGGTGATGAGTTGTATTAAGAAGAGTGTACCTAAAAGCAAAGCGTCTGTATAAAAACACACATAATGTGACATAAAGTCCAGCAGTACGGAGACACAGGGAAACTCACAGCAGTGAGAGGACACATCAGTAATAACGTCACTGCGTGAGCTAGGAGCTGCATTGACTTTAGTTTCAGTCCTTCAGGTTGAGTATGTGTATGTTTTTGTGTTTGTACACGCTCAACACTTGAGTGCTTGCTCATATACTTCTGTCTTTGTGAGGACCAAATTAAGTTTGTGAAGTGAAGACATTTTGGTTGTTACTGACTTCATCAAAGGGCTGTTTTGAGGGCTGATGGGTCGTTTCCACATGATAAAAAAAAACAACAACATTATTATTATTTTTCAACTTCCCTCTCGTGGTATCTCGCCCTGCAGGTAGTTTGATTTTATTTTTCTGTGTTTTTACTACATCTGTCCCTGAGAGTTATGCCTCTGCCACAATAAAATGGAAGTGAATGGAATCTGTGGAGCACACATCATGGAAACAGAACATTTAAAAGAAAATGAACAGCAACATCTCCTGGCAGCAGCAATGTTCTGGTTACCCAACATGCTGTGAACAGTTTATCAAAACCATCGCCCCTATGAAAACAGACTATACTGAGGTCAGTGGATTATCCAGCTGAATATGAAAACAAATATCATATTTCAATGCTTGGAGAAGCATAAACCATTCACCTCCATTGTGTCTGACACAAAGCAAAGAGATGAAAAGTGTACGTGAGCAAGAGCTCTCTCTGTCTGGGCAACAGAACTTAGCCTGCTGCTTGTTAGTGACATTGGTTGGCATGAGAGAGCTCTGCGTGCGTGTGTGTGTGTGTGTGTGTGTGTGTGCGTGTGTGCGTGTGTGTGCGTGAGAAGATTATTCACGACATGGACAGTTAACACAGTCCAGAGCCTCGTCCTTGTCACTGAAACTCAGAGTGACAGACAGCAGAGAGATAAGAGCTGATCAGGACCGATTCCTAGAAGCCTCGGAGGCGAGGAGGGAAACACTGACATACAGTCTGGACTATCACTCACACACATACACACCTTGCTTGTTGAGTTGTGTTTTATGACTAGTGAAGGAAGTGTGAAGTGTTAACTGATAACAGCTCTGTCTACTGTACTTACTGGAACTGTGCTGAGCTGTTGACTCAAACACTGAGGGTACAGGAAATGAGCAATAAAGCATATTTAATGGATTAATGCTGAAATGAGGTTTGTAATCTACTGTAGTATATTTGTAGTTTGAGCCATAGTTTCCATGGTAACTGTTGTAACACTGTGACGCAAGAAGAAACCCTTTATCTGGAGGTCAAGCTGAAAGTGAGCACGCCTGAAATGTACAGGAAAACCAGGTACTGAAGGTCAAAGTTGAAGCAGGAAGTGACACTCTAAACTGTGATGGATGTTCCCAGGTCTCAGCAGTGTGTTTGATGCTCTGTTCGCAGGTGTGACGGCTGCGGCGCCGTGTTCCACACCGAGTGCCGTCAGAAAGCTCAGCCGTGTCCTCGCTGCGTTCGCCGGGAACTCCACCACAAGAAGCCGTCCTCCTTCTGGTCGCCTGATGACGACAGCCCCGGGTGCTTTCACCTGCCCTACCAAGACACCTGAGAGACACACACACACACACAAACACACACACATACAGTAACAGTTAGGCGCTGCCAGGCCACGACTCTGGACAAAGTGCCTGTTTTCCTGATGTGTGTGTGTGTGTGTTTGTGTGGGACTCCAGGACAGATTTGGTGACAGTTTTGACCTGAGGACGAGCTCAGAGCGTCTGATCCATCGTCAGGTTTGTGTTTATGTGTATGTGTACTTGCTAACACACACACACACACACACACACACACACACACACACACACACACACACACACACACACACACACACACACACACACACACACACCTGAGCAAAGCCCCCCTTTGTCCTACCGTAAAGAGCAGGGAGAAAACCGACTGAAGGACTGCTGCACCAGGCTTTACAGACTCAACTACGTGTATTTTGTAGTCCAACATCCCACGTCAAGAGGGAACCCTCTGCTTCATCCTCTCACCACATCACTCCCTTCACTTATTTCTCATTCCAGGGGTTGAACGCATGAAATCACAGCAGATAAACCGGAGACATTTCTACTAATATTTGAAACATTTTGGTTGTATATTCTTACCATCAACTTCCAACGGCATACTAAAGTTTAGTGTTGAAACAATTAGTCAGTGTTCCAGGTTCTGTAATGTGTGTGACTATAAGTCGAACAAAAAAAAAGGCTAATTGAAAATGTCTACTACCCTTGAGAACATGTAATGGTGTTTTTTTTTATCTTTACAGACTGATTACCAGAGAATGAATCTATGATGAAAGTAATCATTATTCGTAGCTCTACTCATGTTAAAGCAGCCAAAACCATTTCAGGATTAAAGTCTCACACACTCTAGCCTTGAAAAAGTAGCTGTAAAACGTTTGTAGACTCCCTCCATACAGAGAGTAGCAGCTGCTGTCAGCTTGGATTCACGTCAGTTACAATGAAATCAAATATTAAAGGATAGGTTCAGTCTGGCTCATGAAACTCTAAATCTGCTGTTTGATTGGCACATACCCAGATGATTTGTCTAATTCAGACCGCTAAAGCCTCATTAACTCCAGATAAACTTCTTTTTGTACAGAACGAGGGCTGTGGATATTGTCTTCCATCACCCGCATTGAACGGTATGGACAGGAGGAAGATTACAGCGAGAAAAATACACACTTTGGTAGAGGCATTTGAGTATTGTTTTAAGACGGACTGTGAACCTATCCTTTGACCAGTTTTCAACATCAGTAGAAACTTCTCAGACCCCTCCTGCAGCACAGTCCACTGTTTCACTGTCCATCTGTAAGCTCACCACGTTCCAAACAAACCATTATATTTGCTGTAATGCGGCTAAATACAATTCATCGAAAGCCTGTGCAAGGGATAAATCCAAGGATGCATTACCTGTTCTGGCGTGAGCTCCAGGAGAGTCGCAGGTCGATTGGTTTAGGTACTGGCGAGGATGGAAAACAATCCAGGAAGTCCAGTTTGAGTATCAGATTAATGCGTTTTAGGGCTCATTTGACACTGCTGAGTGCTTTATTGTACTCTGAGACAGGATTTTACAACTCCCTTTATCTTTCGTCACAGCAGAAACACAAAGTAACGCTTGCACATTCCCAGATGACGATGCATTGCTCCAAAAGTTGAGTCAGCTTTTTTGCTAGATGACCGTGAAGTGGATTACGCTGCAGTTTCATGAGATCCTATGATTTTGACATTTTGCTAGTTTTTGCCCAACCATGACAACATGTCGCCACTGAAGTCTATTGTAACTGACTGAACCAGACACTACAAAAAAACAAATAAAATGTCATAATCAAGTCTTCACGGGGAGTATTTGATTAGATTTGGGGTTCACGTGGGCTGTAACTGGAGCCTTTGGATTGGGATGTTTTACCAACTAATAATAAAATAATTAGAAGTAATTGCTGTGATTGAAGGATAGAAATCCCTCCATCCTGTCTCTGTCCCTCCTTTATCAGGTCTCATTCTTCTCGAACCGAGTCATTTCACTTGTAGATGTGGAATGAAAGATGTTTTTTAACTCACCGATTTCACTCGTTTTCCCAGTGTTCTTTTAATGTAAAGGACTTTAATTCAAAAGGGACTCTCTGTCCGTCCGTCTGAGCACACTCTCTTCCCTCCTTCACTCTAACTGTAAAATAACAGGGGCAATAATATACTGTAACTTATTCTTTCATTGTTGCCTTTCCCCTCCTCTCCTCCTCTGTGATTCTACTTCCTGTTGTGCTTTATTCATGCAGAATCTATCGAACATGATAGCAGCTTTAGCTTTTAGTATCTCTATGCAACCTAGATGGCCTTTCTAACCCACTGCTTTCATGTGTAAAGGTCTGGAAACCCTTTGGTTTACATTTTCTGAACACTGCTGCACCGGCTGTGTTTCCATCCCGTGTTACAGCAAAACTGTAAAGAAATGTTTGGTAAATAAAGTCAGGTTTGTTTTTGACCGCTGGTTGTAGCCGATAAATCTCCAAAAGTCAAATCAACACAGAAAATCATTTAAGATTTTATTGTTGCAACTTTTTGTTTTCAGTTTTTGGCTTTGTTTAAAGTTTTTGCTGGGTGTTGGAAACTATTGATGATGCTAATCCTACAAAATTCATTTTTATAGTTGGATACAATAAGGTTTTTATTTTTTCTACAAACAAAACTACAAACAGTGTTGCTCCAATCAGAAATGACACCTTATGGGAGAGTAAACAATTCCTCCATGGATCCTATAAAGCTGCACTCCCTGATTTAGCTTCTTATCAGTTGATGTTTAAGTTTCTAAATATCCGACAAGCTTGGAGGAAAAACAAATCCCGTGCATCATAAAGTCACTGACTGCAGCTTTACAATTCGATAGAGTAGAATTTGTAATGATGTGGATGGAAAATGTAGCTGCTATTTCTTCTTATTTCCTTTTCTGACAAACTGAAGTCTGGGCCCAGCTGGACTCATTTTATCTTTATTTCAGTGTTAATTCTTCACTCATCTGTCGCCTCTTTAACTTTTTTTTTTCAGCTTGATTGAGCCATAAAAACATGTTAACGTTGAAGGGAATGAACACGTTGCTGTGATCAGCAGCTGATACAAACCCCGGGTATGGGTTTCTTCGTGAATATGTATTTTTGTAAAAAATAAAATCAGAGATTCATGTTTATGAAGCATGAAGGATAGTGTAGACTGAAACTAAATAACCTAGTGTAGTTGAAAGTAAGGCAGGAGAAGTGCACTGAAGTCAGCTGATTACATTTCTTTTGTTTTTATTTTATTTTGAAAGGTAAAACCTGCAGCCATGTCAGCTGATATTAATATGAAATGTTTAAGTTATTGTTGACTGATTGTGCCTGCTGCATAAATACTGGAAAGGTCATGAAGCCTTTGGTTGAAGTATTTTTGTGTTTGTGAAGTGTTTTTTTGTTTGTTTAAATCATGCTGTGCATTTGTTTACCACAGAGCCCGGCAGGTTTCAGGGATTTGTTTTTATTTGTGCTCATAGATTAGAGCTCTGCACAGAGAGCTGAACCAGACTGGTGCTGCCAAATTTGAGACCCAAACCTAACCCACAATCCGAAGCTATAGTTCTCTTTACTGTCACCAAGAAAAGCCTCAACCGGCCGAAGCTCGAAGCTCGACGCAGCTAAACAGCTCCAACCTGCAAAGTTGGTGGCAGTACTCTTAAGATCGCTAATGCGAGAGTACGAATTAATAGAATGTGTATTTAAATAAACTGTTTGTTTGTCAAATATGTTTAGGGGATGTTAATGTTGTTCAACAAACATCTGATTCTGTACATCTGAAAATGAAGTGCTTTTGATAAACATGCCAAAAGCTTATCCAGATTAAGACTGTTGAACCTACGTGTAGTGATATTGCTGAAGGTTTCTGGGAGTGGAATTTGCTCTTTAGAAGACATAGACCTAATTATATTGGTTTTAGGCCAATTTCTTAGTCTCATACAGCGTACCAAAATGTTTGGGACAAATAGTTCTTATTGCTACAGTATATATATTATTATATATTATATTAATGCCTATTTGAGAGCATTTTAATTTTTGTGAGCACAAATTACCTAAAAAAGAAAAACAGACCACTAAAACCTGCAGGGTTCTGTAGTTTGCCTCCGTGTAGCGACAGTAGCCGACTTGTGCATCTGATCACTTTAAAACTTGTATTCATTTCTTTGCCTGTTGTATGCGGTGTGTTCTTCTGTTCATATTTTTTGCCCTTCTTCTAATTTCATTTCCATCTGGATTTGGAAGCATTAATCTGAACAGGTTTAAGAATATGTTGTTATGTTTTCTCTGGAGTGACAACGCCCAGTCTGACTAAACTTTAACTTCTACAGTGAAATCTTACGGCCATATTATGAGTGAGAATGAGCGTCAGTGTGGATGATGAGTACATTGAACTGTGTTTACAGGTTGTCACATCAGAGCAGGAGTGTGTATGAGTGGAATGCTCTTTATGTTGCAGGCACATTAGGATCATTGCAGTATGTTTTTACTTGACGTGTTAGAGAAGAATATATTGTACAGTATTTAAGCAAGGTAACTGCACTGAAAATCTTCTTGTTTTGCACTTAAGTTATTTTATTTATCTGTTTTCTTTTGTTTTCATTGCAGCCAAACTCTTATGCAAGTACAGGAAGTTGAGTTTTTTGATTTAATCAGCCCTTCCTCTTGTCTGGTTTTGTTCCAATTTGTCCGCTAGCCACTGATGCCAATAAAGACAAACTTCTTAATAGTGAGTGTTTTAATCCTGTGTGGAGAAATGTTCATGTTGTTCCACTGAGGACATTTAGGTTTGACTTCCTTTAACTTCTGTCGCTTTTATATTCCTTTGGGTTTATTTTAGTTAAATAGTTCAACAGCACAATCTTTGTCAGCAGATGTGCCCAGTTGTCTTGGAATTGTAAGGTTCCTCAACCTCCATCTGTTGAGCAACATCTTATGTTAGGATCAAAAGTTCCAGATCGGCTACTATTGGACCTTGCTGTGGGATTGCCACAAAACTCGCACAAAACAGGAAGCATGCATATGCAGCAAACCTTACGTACGTCTGTTCCCACGTGTTTCTCCCTCATACAGCTCAATCATCCTAAAACCATTCTCACAATTTAATATAAATGGCTTGAAACACACCCCAACTGCCTGATTAGGTTCTCATGGTTCTCATGGATCCTGGTGGAGCCTCCTGCCATGGTCCTGCTTGACTGCCATTGCCAATACTGTTGTTGCTGTGCACCTGTCTGTCTGTCTGTCTGTCTGTCTGTCTGTCTGTCTGTCTGTCTGTCTGTCTGTCTGTCTGTCTGTCTCCCTCTCTCTCTCTCTCTCTCTCTCTCTCTCTCTCTCTCTCTCTCTCTCTCTCTCTCTCTCACCCCAACTGGTCGAGACAGACGACCACCCACCTAGAGCCGGAGGATCTGTCCTAGGTTTCTGCCTTTTAACAGGCAGTTTTTCCTTGCCCTTGTCGCCAAGTGCTTGCTCATGGTGGTACTGTTGGGTCTCTGTAAATAATGTTAAAGAGTTCGGTCTAGACCTGCTCTATTTGAAAAGTGTCCTGAGATAACTTCTGTTATGAATTGGCGCTATACAAATAAAATTGAATTGAATTGAATTGAAAAATTAGGAACCGCATTTAGATCAGTTTTGAGGAAAAATGGCGGAAGCATTGAAGAAGCAATTGAAGAAGAAGACGACGCGCGATGTGAACTGGAGGTAATGGTGGTAACAAAAACAAGTTATTTGGGCCCCTACACTCTGGCGTGAACAATAGAATGAAGGTGAATGGGAGATGGTAACAGAGGCAGTTAATTACCTGTTAATTGGTCACTCACCTGAAGGTCTAGGTTGTTCTTATTTGTCAATAATACAGGATAATAATGTCAAGATCATGTATTTATTTGATTATTTATATATAGATTATTATCATAATAATTATAATGCAGTGACAAACAAAATTAAGGGTGGTCAAAAAGGTTGTTCACACACACATCCTTATGTTAGTGTTAGTTTTTAAACTACAGATTGCATCCTAACGCAGTGAAAGAAAAACGCTGGAAATAAAGTCTCTTCTTCTCTTCTTTATACATTTGGAAATGTATCTTTTCATGTGTAAGCATGGTTTATACATCTGGCCCCAGATGTGTAATTCCCGGGCAAATCGCAACCAGAACTGAAAAGAAAGCAAACTGCTTACCTCAGCATTCACAGTTAAACCTGATGTGTAGCGCTCACTGAACTCCTGCTTCACACTGGCATCCATGTCAACAGCTCTCCATTTACAGATCTGTAACAACACGGTGTGTTAGAGTCTCACCATCACTGGAGCACAGGAGTGTTAAAGGTCCCATGAAATGGTATTATGATACATCAGTCCCTGCAGGATGTTGCAGGCGCTTTAGGGGATTGTTGTGAGTGATTTTACAGTAGCTTTTCTAAAACAATTACAATGCATGTTGCAACGTTTTTATGCATTTTTTTTTGCAACAAAATTGTGGGAGAAAGTCAAAATTGCAAAAAAAGTAATTTTTTATGGTGTAATTCATTAAAAATCGAAGGCGAGTATAAATAAAATAACTGTTTGGACAGGGTAAATGTGAGGTGTCTGTGTGGCACATGTCTGCCCGGTCTGCATCTTCACAACTAGAAACAAAGGAGTGCGTTTGGTGACGTATGACTCACAGTTTTGTGCAGGAAACTACAATGATCGGTCAAATGTGCGGAAAAGTTGCTGTGTGACAATGTGCAGGGATTGGTTGAATTCTGAACTTCCTGGAGGGACGGATGTATGATGTGTGTGTCTATAGAAACAGGAGTTTGGGGCAGATCATTCCACAGTGAGGGAGGACACAAAATGTGGCTTTATTTGCTGGACTCAGTAGTTATACTGACTAGTGCAGCATGAGGCACTACTACAACAGATTCCAAACACCAGCAGCAAGTTCAGACAAAATTATGGGATTTACGGGCTTGGCAACAAATTCAGGGAGTGTTGCTTTAAAATGTGATAGTTTGAGGCTCACGCTCAGCACCTGCCTGTAGAAGGCTTTTGAAACCGATCCGTAATAAACAACTGGAAGACCAATCCCAGAACTCAAGCTGCATAAATCAATCCAATCGAGGACTGTCAAAACCTGTCCGACATACACCAGAGGATAATTAGACCCAATCCCAGATGCAGTCAGCCTGAACAAACCCAAACAGAAAGAAAACGACCAGCGGTGGCAGCAGCATGATGCTCCGAGTTAACGAGCACACAAACACGGCATTCTTCTTCGCGGTTTACGCTGCGAGTCCACCTCAAAACACACTCTCCTCCCGTGATGGTGATCAGAGTCAGGATCCATTCAGGTATTAGACACACAGACCTGACATCAGCAGCCACAGAACAGGATCCTACCAGATCTGATTAGACTAAATACACTTTAGACCCGGTCTGACTCGAGCCCCATGTGGGGTCTCACAAGGAACTGGGTCGTCCCCGAAATGACTGACCAACCCAGGTTACGGAGGGGAAAGGTGGGAGTCTCGGGTCAGTGGTGCAGGAATGTGAACCAGCTCGCCACTAGGTCCATTTAGCAGCTGTTCTAAAGCTTTCGATCGCTTTTGATGGTGGAAAGTAACTTTAGTACATTTATCCAAGTAATGTACTTGGATACAGTCTTACTCCACTGCATTTATTTGGCAGCTGTACTTTAAGATTAACAGAAATATTGATAAGTTTACTAAATACAATGCTGTGTATAGTGCAGTGGAAGGGCCCTTTAATAACAACTCAGACATCTAAAATGTGACAGTTCCACTAAAAAGATAATTTCTCCTCTAAACTGATGCTTTCATTTAGTTAGCATTCATAGGGGCAGAACGACTACTTTGAGACTTTGAGTCCATAATAATGCTTCTGTGAGTTAAGGACTTCTACTCATAACGTGTATTTTTACACAGTTGTGTTGGTACTTTAAAAAGTACCATTTTCTTTTATGGCATCATATGTGAATTTCATAAAATAGATAGTATGTAAAGTTAGTATGAAATAGATAGAATAAAAAAGAGAATGTTGGTACTTTTACTGAATTGAAGGATCCCAGTACTTTTTCCACAACTGATTTGAGTCATATCACACAATCTCCTCTGTTTTCCCAGTCGTCATGAAATTTGAGTGTTAGTTTCTGTTTTCACGACTTCTCGTCCAGCCAACACGGAAATACAAATGGGATTTTTTACATTTCTATCCCACTACAATTTCATGACCACCGGAGTAAACTCCATCTGCTGAGGAAGACTGTGTGATATGATTGAAAGCTCCAGAACAGCCACTAACTGTACCTTGGGGTGAGACTTCCAAACGAGTTCAGAGTTTGCTGAGATGACAAACGTATAATGTGTCAGTTTGCGACCGGTTGTCAGGTAACAAGCTCAACCTCAAACTGAGCTGAGAGAAGAAAAAAAACAGATTCATGTGAATAAAAGGTGCATGTAAACCTGCCTGAGTGAATATGCATATTGTCTGAGAGCCTAGAGCTCAGAGGCTGAATCATTTGCCTGTGATGTATGTCGAGCAGCGGGCAAATTGAAGCTGAGTGTCGACCGCGCTTAATTGTCATCGCCAATTAGTGCATTGTGGGACGCCCACAATGGATCAACTGTAGCGAGTAGAACGAAGTCCTTTGTGCTTCTCCAATGGCCTGCAGGCCAGTCAAGACTCATTTAGGACCTGAACAACGACGGAGCAGAAATGCCAACGAAAATGAAAACAAAAGACAGTTTAGGGAGAAAAAGAGGACGGAGGAAAGAAAAAGACAGGAGGAGGAGGAGGAAGGGGGAGGTGGACAACGGTCACAGAGGAGTGAAGGACCGGGCCTCTGCTCTCCCAACATGAGAGCAGGGTGTATGCCTTTAACACACACACACACACACACACACACACACACACACACACACACACAGAGTGGCCCCCCTGACATTTAGCGAGCTGCTACACAAAAGCTGGCAGGGCCCCAGTGTTCCCAGTGACCTGGTTGTTCAGAGGCTCGTTTGGCCACGCTGAAGTTTTCAGCAGGTCTGAGCCGAGCGGATTGTCCGTGTGCTTTTATCAGTGTTAAAGGGTAGATCTTCTCTTTTTCTATCAATCGCGATTAAGCATAAAACAACTTCCTCACCAGGCTTAGACGCAGTCCCAATAGGGAGTTATTGAAGCCTGCCAATACCAGGATGCATTTTTTTTTCTCCCCAAGTTCACAGGCAGGGGCATAGTCAGGACCTTTCAAATGCTGAGGTCAAGAAACCCTATTCCACCAGCAGAACTACAACAACCAGCAGAACCACAACAACCAGCAGACCCACAACAACCAGCAGACCCACAACAACCATCAGAACCACAACAACCATCAGAACCACAACAACCAGCAGACCCACAACAACCATCAGAACCACAACAACCAGCAGACCCACAACAACCATCAGAACCACAACAACCAGCAGACCCACAACAACCATCAGAACCACAACAACCAGCAGAACTACAACAAACTTTAATTTCCTGTCAACCAAACAATTAGTATTTAAGAAAATCACAAAATTTCAATGTTTTATTGTATCTCCTACATGATTTAACTGTTGTTTGTCTAAAGGTTTTTATCTATACTGGCACATATATTGTCATTTTGATTTGTTCTGTTTTGGTCTATAAACAGGTTAAACTGCAGACACCAGGTAGTAGTCCTGTTCATCCTACTTTCTGGAGCTCGCTTTGAAGATGTGTTTCACACCATGTATTCTGTAGCTTGTTGTAGCGTAGTGACCACGCAGACTTGTGCGAGCATTCTTTAGATTGGAGGTACGCGGATGTCCACACAGAGCCTACACATACACCCTCTGAAGATGAAATTTATGTCTCGGGAAGCCAAGAGGACCATCTCACACTCCGAGTGTGAATCTATCGTGACGGCACCCACTGGTTTGTGGAGTGCTGTGGAATTGAGCTGTGCTCATTGGCTGCGCTTAGATTTGACTTGTCCAACCACGGTGGCTCACCTAGTCACACACATTTTCGTATTGCAGATAAACAGTACACTAAAATATGTTTTAGAAAAGATTTTCTAAATTCAAGGTAGCCACACCCAAAAGCATACCCTGTTCTATTGTCGTCTATTTTACTCTAAACTGGACCATAATTCACTAAATGAACATCACGCTGTATGGAAGAAGCTTTGAAACTAGTGATTGACACCATACATTCTTTAAGAAACTGTTTAATGAGCTAATAAATCAAGAGAGAAGTAGAGTTGTTTCCCCATAAGACTCAATACTATCTTTTTTGCAGCCCATGGAGCTGCCCTCTGCTGGCCATTAGAAATAATGCAGGTGGGTTGTTTTCCCTTCACAGACCCTAAAGATCTGTCCACTAATTCTATACAGTCAATAGTCGGGACATGTCTGAGGTTACTATGGGCTTCATGTTTATCCTGATTTGTCAGTGACAAACAACTACCAATCAAATCAGTTGAGGATATTCTTTTTGCTGATGTAGTGTTGTTTACATCAGTAATAAAATCTTTGGTTATATAATGCAGTATTATGTATATATACCTGTAGTATGGGGAACATAAAATGACTGATTGGCCTTTAAATCAGTGGGCAGAATGGTACCAGATTATTTTCATGGCGGAACTGACTGCATTTAAACTTATCATTGATGTCAATATACTGTAGCTGCACCTTTGTTGGAGAAAACAAAACTCAAAACAATAAACTAAAATCCAAATAGAACCGATAACAAATGATTAATGAGAGATTAAATAAACTATAATTAAACATTTGTCACCCTTATCAACAGAGAGAAATATGTGTGTGTGTGTGTGTGTGTGTGTGTGTGTACAGCAGGACAGAGGCTTTGTGCAGACACCTGTACGAGCCCACAGGGAGGAGAAATAAAACCACACAGGAACAGATGTTTCAAAAAGGCTTTGACACTTTACAACTCTAATATCTGTGGACTGAAGCCGGCAGTTTGGGGTTTGTGCTGATTAACAATACAATGGTTAGAACAAGTGCAGTCTATACATATTAGATTGACACTAATACAAATCTCAATAATAAAGTTTGACTAAAACTAATGTACATTTATGTCAACAGACTAAAACTATATCACAATGAGGTGCCAACATTAGCTCTGACCTTGCAGGCTTCATGGAGGACAGTAACTCCACAGCAGTTACACAGACAAAGAGTTTGGGTAAAAAAGCCTAAAAGCATCCATTAGAAACTTAGAAACCAGCTTCAGATAACCACCTTGTTCACCCTTAATCTGTAAATTCAGTACGATTCAAACACCCGTAGGTTGTTCTGTGAAAGAGACTTCTATGTCTCTGGTTCGCCTCCTCATGGCTCCAAAGTTGTTCCAGAAGCTGCACATGTTGTTATTTATTGCCAATTGTTAAGAAGTGGCGAAATGTAATTCTGAGCTACAACAAGTCCCTGAGGTGTCTATAATCAATATTTTATAATAACAATGTATGAAATAATGTGAACACTGAATGGTGGTCGCTCGTCCTGAGGAACCTACAGAGAACCATCACCTGAACCTGAACCTCTCCTCGGCTTTACGGAGATCTACAGCGAGATTCGGCCACGGCTTCATTATTTTGGTTCACTCTCACCGCTCTCAGAGCTGTTTTCGATGAAAAAGCTCTAAAAAGCCCAGCACTGAACAGCAGACAGACACAGTTAGAGACAAGCTGGTGAACACAGCGGAGCGTTCAGCTGTTCATTTAGAGGAGGAAGGCTGTGTACTTTTACCTGTTGGTCTGAACATGAACTGCTGTCTCTGGTGAGAACGTCAGATATGCCCAGCTAAGACCCAGACTTGGCAAAGCTTCCTTCCACCTTGGTGAAGATTAAGGTCCTTCTTCCTATATTTGATATAAGGGATGCAAGTGGTATCTGTAAAGTTTTTAATAGAACATTTTATTACATCCCTCTGTACGGTGGAGTTCGGTAAAACATATGAACCAGCACATTCACTACAGTCAGATACTCTTTGTACTCTTTTGATTGACTTGTTGTGTCCTGTCCTAATGATGAACAGCTTTATGTATTTTAGTATCACAAAACAAAACGAACAGTCTGTTGCAACACCTCTCCATGCACAACCCTCGAGATCTCATCTTTAAATATGAAAGCATTCACTATAAATCACAGGTGTGTGACTTTACTGTATTTTCAAGCATGCTGTGCTGTTTCAGAGCTTTTAATGTGTTTTTCCTCCCTTCCAGGCATCCATTGGTTTCTTGCAGAGCATAAATGGAGCCAGACGTAAATACAGATTGATGCAAAGAGTCTGAACACCGCAACAATAATGTAACTCTGACAACAAAAGCAGACGTGAAGTTTGTTCACAGTGACGGATCACCTCGCTCAAACAAGCTCCAAGTCCCTGCATGTTGATTTTCATTCAGTGCTGACATGAAAGCGGCTGCCTGGGAGGGTTGAAAAACAGTCAGTATGCGTTGGCAATATGTTCTGTAGTAAAGTTTACATCATTTGTAAGTAAATAGCCTAAAGGTGTGTTCAGACTGAACACAAAGGGAGGGTTACAGGCAGCAAGATTACACAGAGTCAACAGAAAATCACGTGTGGACACTGACAGACATGGATTTGGATATGGAGTTATTTTTCTGTCTCTACTGGAAGAGAAGAAGGCATAAGGACACAGATGTGGATTTGTTTAAGGACGTGGTAATTTAGCCAAAAGGAGCTGAAAATGATTCAAAAATTGCAAAAACTCTGCAGTTTTCCAGATCTGTTGGACTTCATATACGACAGAGAGGAAAGAAAGGAAAATGCAAGGCAGCTAACAGCTACAGCTAGCTGTCTGTTTTGGGTGAATAAACGCGGGCGACATACGCACCTCACATGAATAAAAAGGAGTTGAAAATGGATTTCATGATCCATCGGAACACTCCACTGATTTTACATATCAAAGTGTGTTTCCAGGTGGAGAACGACTGCATATGTGAAAAGAGTTGCAGAAAGCCTTTTGTGGCTCCAGAGGGAGCTGCACATGTTTGAAAGTGAAAAAGATCTGGGGGTGTGAAGAGCTAACCAGACCTCACCTCCCCATCTCTAATCGAGGCTACATTAGCTGCTACTCGCATAACGCACCTGCATTGTGGGTAATGTAGACAGCAAGTTTTGACAAAGAAGAATTAGTGGAATAAAATAGATGATATCTCTGGTTCTGCTGCATCAGTTTTAATACTTTAAACCTTACACTGTCCATAGTGAGTCCGATGATGTTATTAGACTGCAATAATAAATTGGTGGAATTTTCTTTTAAAACTGTTTCTGGACCTTTTGAGCTCTGTATGATCACAGGCTCTGTAGTTCTACTGTCAAGAAGTGAGCTTTACATGATAATCTGTCTTAGAAATCTATCTGGATCCATCTGTATGGCAAGGTTGAGAAACTCTTGGTAGGTGCTTTAAATATTAGGTTACAGAAGGTTAAAATTAGTAGGTTAAGGTAACGGTATAGAAGTACATATTTCTGTGTGTGTGTGTGTGTGTGTGTGTGTGTGTGTGTGTGTGTGTGTGTGTGTGTATCTCGTGGTTACCCGATCAGCGAGGGATGCGGGTCACGTCTCCTTGTGTTCTCACTTAAGTCTTAGTCAAACAGGCTTGGCACCTGGGAAAATCACCAAAAGTAATCACATATGTGTGTGTTTGTGTGTGTTCGCGTGTGTGTGTACACATGAGAGATTGATGCCGTCCAGGCTTAACAAATGAAATCCTCGCCGCTTGCTTTCATTTATCAAAGTAACCTACCTGAGTGAAGGTAAATCAGACTAAAAAAAACTTGGCTGATATGTTGACACACACACACACACGCACACACACACGCACACACACACACACACACACACACACACACACACACACACACACACACACACACACACACACACCCTTTGAGACCTTTGTCCCCCAGACAGTGTTGTGACCTTTGTCCAGTGGATATGGCTGTGTGTGTGTCTGTGTGTAGAAAGAGAGCGGGAGAGAGCAGAGTCATATCAGTTATTGAGCACCACTGATTTTTTTTCAATTATTCTGATTGATCAATCAGCCCTATGATGTAACACTGACTTGGCAACAATGAAATGACAGAGGAAGAAGACGCTGATGGGAATTGGGGTCTTCTTTGGCAAGAAAAAATAGTGTCTGAAAATGTAATATATTTATATATATATGTATAAATAAATAGCTAATCAGAAGAATGTACATGCTTTTATTTCTGTTGTATTAAATGTGTCATTCCATCATGTCCTGTTGTCATCTTCAGTGTATGCAGAGCTAACAGGAAATGACAAACACACACTGCTGGTGCATGTTAATGACAAACTGAGATTAGCGGCCTGTCAGAAGTCAGGGACAGTGTATGTGAACAGTATTCCTCTGTACATACACCAGGGCATGTATCACGCAGTAAGACCAATACATTAACACCAAAACAAAAGGACTGTAACTGAACTGATAATCTGATAGAAACAAATGTAAAACAGGCATTGTGTTCGATAAAAAATTAGGAATCACAGCATTGTTAGAGTGAGACACGAGCAATGAGCAACGAATATTCACAGAATGAAAAACAAAACTGTGAAAAACAGCCTGCAAGTATGAATGATTTAAAATGCCACAGAATATATACATGAAACTACTATAAAAGTTTGTGTGTGTGTGTGTGTGTGTGTGTGTGTGTGTGTGTGTGTGTGTGTGTGGTCGTTTGGTTGGGTTGCCAGAGACAGGCAAGACCTTAATCCATCATCTGATACCTTCAAGTTCTCCTGGTAAACTCCTACCTCTTAATGCAGGAAGTCATAAATACAACTCACTGATGCGTTCAGGTGCTGTTGGTGAGAGACAAGTACAACATGGACTGTGTCAGAAGCAGTTTTGTAGACGTCAGGCTTCACTGAGCTGCAGAATGAAAAGGAAAGACACAAATCAGGAAGTTCACATTTTAATGTATTCAACTCGTTTGGATTCGAAGTGAAGTTTGTTTATAAATGACAAATCTGACTGTTACTATGCAGAATGGCTCCTTGTAGAGTGACAAATTATTGTATGCAGTATATTACGGGCTATAATTGGATTACTATTGGTTAAAATTTGAATGATATAGATGGTTGAGGTGGAGCTCATGTAAAAAAATAATCTGAAAACTACTTATAAAGCAAAGGGTTGATTAATCAATTCATAAAATGTTTTTTTTCTCAAAACGTTTAATAATTGATGTTTAATTCATGTATCAAGAAACTTCAAAAAATAACAGGAGCATAAAACCTCAAGATTGCACCTTTACAGTGCTGAAGTAAATGTACTTAGTTACTTTCCTGCAGAATTACAAGGACACTTAAAGTAAATAAATCACCACAGTGAGGACTAGAGTTTTTTTCTATTACTGCACTGAGATTACAGTTAAAGCTTTTTTTGTCTTTAGTTTATTCTTTAAATTGCTTTCATTCGTCCATTTAGTCTTCATTGTGTCTTAAATTGCACTCCTAAAGCACTTTATACACATAACCTTGACTTGATTCACCTGTTGTTGTTGTTGATGATGAGGGTCTAATAACTGATCATTAAACACCGATTCAAAAATAGTTATTAACGTCTCATCTTTCATCTCAGATTTGTTTCCGTATGGAGGATATCATTATAAATCTCATTGCTTCATGCTCGCCTGGCTAGAAAACCCTTCAGTGAGCGCTAATGGTGACACGTCCGACAGCCCCTGAACGCAGCGGTCCCTGTGTGTGATGAGGAGGTGCTGCAGCCTCAGACGGACTTTATTCCGTCCTGGGGCTCAGTGGAGGCTGCAGCCGCCGCACGGCACGCTGCTCTACGTGATAACACGAGATAAGTTTTACCCTGAACGACTCTCCGGATTTATGACTGTTTTATTGCGGTTCCCCGCAGAGGAAGCAACTTGTGAAAACTTTGAGAAGAAGAACATGTGTCTGAAAGCGGTGTCAGTGTCACTGAGAGGATAAACCGAGAGGTCAAGTGGATTTTACACACCGGGCTGCGGCCGCAGAGACCGGACACTTTTAGACATTTTCCTTAAAATTTTTTTTTTTTTGGAACTCTTTTTTTTCTCACGATGCGACTTTTTCTGGCGTTTGCGAGCTGTCGGGAACAAACCGGGCTGGTAAAAATGTTACAGGGTCGTTAAATTTATTGGAACGTGACCACCGGAGATGAACTTTCTCCGTAATGATTGCGGAGCTCCGGTGAATGATTGACAGTAGAGGCTCGCCTGGCGCTCTGTGGACCTTTATGGACAAACTGGATTTACTGTCAGGAGTTCAACTCGTTCGGTTTCAATCATTAAGAGGCTGAAAGGTGTTTCCCTTTGGAGCCGGTCTGTCCAGCACAAGAACAAAGTTTCCCTGACCGACTCATACATTAGAAGAAGCTATTTTTCCCTCCGTTGCTCTCTTTATTTTCCTTCTTTTAATGACTCTAAATTAATAATTTTAAAATAATTTAATATTTATTGTCTATATGGCATCCACGGTGAGGGACCCGCCGTGCAGCCCGGTGCTCCAGCGGCCCCTCCTGCTGCTGCTGCTGCTGTTCCAGTGTCCAGGTCTCACGTTAGGAGCCTCCAAGGATCTGGTGTGTGAGCCTATAAATGTGCCCATGTGCAGGGGCATCGGCTACAACCTGACCTACATGCCCAATCAGTTCAACCATGACACCCAGGAGGAGGTGGGGCTGGAGGTCCACCAGTTCTGGCCCCTGGTCCGGATCCGCTGCTCTCCAGACCTGCTCTTCTTCCTCTGCAGCATGTACACCCCGATCTGCCTGCCGGACTACCGCAAGCCTCTGCCCCCCTGTCGCTCCGTGTGTGAGCGGGCCAAACGAGGCTGCTCCCCTCTGATGAGCCAGTACGGTTTCGAGTGGCCCGAGAGGATGAGCTGCGAACAGCTGCCCCAGCTGGGCGATGAGACCCTGTGCATGGACCAGAACAGCAGCGAGACCACCACCCTGGCTCCACCCTTCCCCAAGCCCACCCCTAAAGGCCGGACCAGACCACCCAGCCCACCGCAGTGTGACAGGGAGTGCCGCTGTCGAGAACCCCTGGTCCCCATCAAGAGGGAGTCCCACACTCTGTACAGCCAGGTCCACACCGGCCCCATACCCAACTGCGCCCAGCCCTGCCACCAGCCCTACTTCTCAGCTGACGAACGCGCCTTCACCAGCTTCTGGGTGGGACTGTGGTCGGTGCTGTGTTTCATCTCCACCTTGACGACTGTCGCCACCTTCCTCATTGACATGGAACGCTTCAAGTACCCAGAGAGGCCCATCATCTTCCTGGCTGCTTGCTACCTCTTTGTCTCTTTGGGTTACATCATCCGCCTGGTGGCAGGTCATGAGCGAGTGGCGTGTGGCGCCAGCAACAGTGTTAGTGGTGACCAGCTGTACGTCCTCTATGACACCACTGGCCCGGCTCTCTGCACCCTCGTTTTCTTGTTGGTGTATTTCTTCGGTATGGCCAGCTCCATCTGGTGGGTGGTGCTGTCCTTCACCTGGTTTTTGGCAGCAGGGATGAAGTGGGGCAGCGAGGCCATCGCAGGATACTCTCAGTACTTCCACCTCGCCGCTTGGCTCATCCCCAGCGTTAAGTCCATCGTTGTCCTGGCTCTCAGCTCTGTGGATGGGGACCCCGTCGCTGGAATCTGCTACGTGGGGAACCAGAGTCTGGAGAATCTCAGGGGATTCGTACTTGCACCTCTCGTGGTTTACCTCTTCACCGGCTCCCTTTTCTTACTCGCCGGCTTTGTTTCCCTCTTCCGAATCAGGAGCATCATCAAACAAGGTGGCACCAAGACGGACAAACTGGAGCGGCTGATGATCCGCATTGGGCTCTTCACGGTGCTGTACACCGTCCCCGCGACCATCGTGGTGGCCTGCCTGGTCTATGAGCAGTACTACCGGCCCGGCTGGGAGCGAGCCCTGGCCTGCTCCTGCCTCTCCGAGCGCCAGCGCTCAGGCGTGGGCCCAGACTACGCGATCTTCATGCTCAAGTACTTCATGTGCTTAGTGGTGGGCATCACCTCAGGGGTCTGGATTTGGTCAGGGAAGACCTTGGAATCCTGGAGGAGGTTTGTGGCCCGATGCTGCCCCTGCTGGCTGCAGAAAGCTACTGCACCACCCTCCATGTACAGTGAGGCCAGTACTGCTTTAACTGGACATACTGGAACTGGTCTGACATCAGGGATCTACCATAAAGCTGCTCCATCCCATATATGAACTGAGCAGCACAGTGACATGTTTTTAGGGGACTGATGTTCGTACAGTCTGTGTGGTCACCTCAGCTAAAGTATCCAACCACCCAGAGTGTGTCTGCAGGACTGCGTGCTTGTGTATCGCTGTGCTCTGAATTTCAGCTCTAACAAAAACTAGACAACTGTGACAATATGAAACACCATGCATCAAAAGATTCAGAGTGTAAAAAGGGAAAACAAACAACCTGGGTAATGGGAATTTAAACTGAAGAAAATTCTACACAGAATATATATTTAAAACACAGTCTGACTCCAACAATTGAAACTGCATGTGTAAGCAGTAGAGACAGCTGACCAAAGTTGACATTTACTGAGATCTTCAAACCCCACAGTTACGTGGTTTCAAGATGGAATAACACACATTCGGCTTAACCTGAGCACTGAGAAGAAAAATATTTATTTATGTATATATTGTTTATATGTTTTCTGTAAAAACAAAAAAAAGAAAGAAAGGAAAATTAGGTGTATAGTGTGATATGTTTTAGTTTGTAACCAACCAATGCCACTGCCACAAGCTAAGTGTAAGAAACCAGAGAAAACAAATTGTATAAACTTGTACATAAATGTGTTGTTTCAAGTCAGTGTTTGAGTGTGATATCTGGTGTGTTTCTTTAGGTCTTCTCAGACGTGGAAGTTATCTGGGAAGCAAACAAAAAGGAGTTCACTCGTTATAATGGATACTGTCATGACCTCTAAGCTCTGTTGTTAGGCTGCATCACACTTAAAGTCACTACAGTCTGTTTCTGAGTGAACTTGTTCTGTCCATGTTGTAGGAGCTAACAGGCAGTGATCAGGTTAAAGCTGCACAATGAAACTGACCATGGACTTTACCCCCATCTGCTGGTTCACAGTGGAACTGCTCACTGATGTTCTTCACATCAGGGGGAAAAATGGACCCCAAACCAGATTAACATTAGACCCCAGACCCTCAGCTGAGTAAGACAAAAAGTGATTACAAACAAAGTGGTAACAGTTAAATCCACTATTGGAATAGTTATTCTTTTGTATTCTCGTATTTTTGGGGTTTTCTGTTTGGACAGTTCTCCTGTGGATTCTCTGAAACCAACTCAAGGACCCCTAAAAAGGTCCCTGGACCTCATTTTGAGAACCATTGCTCTACTTTTCTAGTTAATTGTTGCCATAGACTCAGAAAGATGTTAGAGTCATAGACTGATATCGTTTTAAAATAATTAGTCAATTAAACAAAATCAACAAATTTAACCAGTAACAGTTTTAATAATCGACTTAAAGTAAGAATGCTTCTCAAATGTGAGAATTTGCTGCTTACATCCGTTTTATACATTGTAAGGTGAATGTCTTTGACTGTTGGACTGTTGGGTGGAGAAAATAAGCAATTTGAGGACATTACCATAGTGATGGGGATGTCCACTATTTTCTGATATTTGATACATTTTCATAAATCAGCACATTGATTGATACTCATTAGTGGCAGCCCCTTATATAGTCACACACACTATATATGTTGTGCAGAAGACAAAACAAAATATTGCTTTTGTATAAATTCAAAACGCCAAGTTTAATATTTTGGGGGTTTTGAACTGTTGGTTGGACAAAATAAGCACTTTGAACATTTTTCATTATTTTAAACAAGCACTTTTGGAGGATGCTGCTGTTCATCCACAGTTGGCTGTATTCACACTATCTATAAATGAGTTATAGAGAAGAAAGTCTTATCAGCAGAGAGCTGTGGTCTAATGTGGGTCATCTGTTTTTAGGGGTCCTGACAGCGTAAACTGAGGGTACCTGCTGTCTCTCCATACAGAGGTCACACTTAGTGTGTTTGAGGGGAGCACAAATTAACTGTTAACGTAACCTTAAAGACACAAACTCCCTACATATCTGTGATTGGGATGAAACTTATGGTTTTCGGCTTTCTCCCTCCCTGCTGTGATGGTCTGTGATATTTTCATTCTGTTGTTGACCAATTGTGTTGTTTAGACTACTGTGTGTCCACATGCTAGATGAGATCTCTAATTTATTAGGCTGATTTGTGTGAGTGAATGTGATTGTACGAGTGATGAAGAATGTTGTTTAAGTGTAAATCTGCTTTCACATGGATACAGTTCCTCAAAGGATATAAAAATATTGTAGATTTTGATTCATATTGTGGAATTAAAACTGAGTTGATCTCGAGTTTGGTGCACGTCTCGTGTGCGTCTGTGTGTTTCTGTATATCTGGCAGAGCGTGATGTATTTTTACTGTGGTTTGTACAGTTTGAAGACGTGTGAACCAGTCTGCTGATGTATGAACTACATTTGAATTTGTGGTCATATTCAACTCGAAGAAACCAATATTTGTTAAATAACACAATTTAAAAGTTTAATATGCAGGGCGAACTTGGCTTCCGTTATAATCTCCGGTGGAAATTTAACCCTTTAGTGACCTAAATATGACAACAGAACAAAATGTATGGTAATCAATTACAATGCCAGTATGGCTCCTTCATTCTGTGATACTCCATCAGGGCATTAAGAGGAACTTTGTTCTTCAAATCAACAAAGTCTTACTCACTTCATGCAGGCTCTGGAGTTCCTTAAATGTGTCGCTGAGCATGTGAGGTCATAATGGTGGTCGTTTGCTTGGAGGGCCATCCTCCATCTTTAAACCGCTGCCTGACATTAACCTCGTAGACCAGAACACAATGCATTCACACCTATTGTTTACTCTCTGGTATGCAGGTAATTCTGGACACTCATGAACCATCATCACTGGCAGGTCAAAGTGTTGCATTCAATTTGGATAGGAAATACAGTCTACTAGGACGCAAACTGGTTAGGGTTAACTAGGAGAGGGCAATATAGGTCAAATCCTCTCTCACAGTATACTGTAACTTTATCACTATGTCAATACATCATGGTATTGTTTTTACAATTTTCTTGTAATTAAGAACTGTTTATTAATAAAATAGATGGGCATATTAAATACCTTCAAAATCATGGTACATAATCAGATTGAAAACTCAAATAGTCATACAGAACTCCTGCTTATTGATTTACAGCACTGCCCACAGTGAGCTAATGCAACCAGAGATATTAGGGGAGAGATAACATTGTTTAAACAGTGAGGCACAGTCTACAACAGTTGACAAATAAGTATTGTTTCACACTCACAGCATATATAACATCATATTACCCAAACCTAGTTCAGGCTGTATCACAATCAAACTCCCCCATGGTTTTGTAGACTGCAGCGACACTAGAATGCAGTACTGGATTCAGAAATTGTGTTTAACTCACCATATTCCTGCATTAGCTGTATAATAGTAAAGTTATACACAGACGATCTCTGCAAAAAAACAACTGCTTTTTAGCCTTTCAAGCATTAATGTGATCCTACTTTAAACTTTAAACAACTACAGCAGAGGAAGCACTGCTGCAATGTAATGATCAGTGAACGCCTCATAAGCATCTGAACAATGTTACAACCAGTCTATGGTTACAACTGCTTCCTAAAAACTAAATTATGATTAAAAAAAACATTGGAATAATTGGTAAATCCATACTGTAATGGCATTAAATTAAGATCTGAGTAGTCAACCACTGCCTCAGGATGCAAACATATAGCTACATACACGCATAAATACCTTATAAAATTGCACATTCTGATTGGTGAAAAAAGGAAGCATTTGGAAAGGCTAATACTTACAACTCATCCAGGAAATTGTTTAGTCGCCATGGTAGGTGAGGCTGCTCCTTGTTTAATAATCAGTTTTATTTAGAAAATGGACTGTGACTGCCACACTGAATATAATGGCTTTACCTATGTGAAATAGCACCTCTGCTTCTTTTCCTGAAAGGTCGTGTATATATTGATATTTTGTGAGGAGGTCTTCGTTCCGGGCGAGGTGTCCCACCTCCGCTACAACACACCACAACAAACCTTGCAACTGGGACTGGTTGTAGATAGAGCTGATTTAGCCAGTACAGCCAGAGCCAATCAAACGCTCACAAAAACACATATCACCTGAAGGTCACAGATCACACATACAACACAATTTGTAATTACCACAACATATCTTCGTTACATGATTAGTGTTTATTTAAAATACTCCATCTGCAAATGTTTGTTTCAATTAAAAACAAGACAAATTTCACAGCTAGTAGCCTACATAGTAAGCAAAAAGGAGGGGAGTATCCATCAGTCTCTTTTTTCCCCCTCAATATCTATGTAGTTTGTTTGAAAGCTCTGGTCGGGGTCTTGGACAATCACCCGCTTTGTACTGTGTTGACGGGCTCTTTGAGGGGGGGGTCAGGATGCTATATTTTGTCATTATGTCGACCTAACTGCTTTATCGAGCCACTCAGTAGCAGTACTGATCCAGAACCTTTTTGACCACCTGAAGTTTATCTGAAAAGTAAAACTGACCCCAGGTTGGCACTCCTGATTCCCAGACACGACAACAGCCATCTCCTGCGGAATAGTCCAATACTTTGTCATCTGAGACATGCAGTATGCTCCATCCAAATTCAGATTTTTTGAAATGGAATGAACAGTAAACAAGCCTCTTTTTTTTTTTTTTTTTTTTACACTCTCAAAAGTAATTTTTGGTAATAACTCTAATTTACAAAGAAACAGCTTTTGCATTTGATGTGATGTGCCTATTAAAGGATATGTCTGCTGATATTCTACATTTTCTTGTCAACAAATCCCATGAAATGACCAAAACCAACAATTAATTGATCAGACTGACAAATATCAATCCAAAGCCTGAAATACCTTATTCCTCTGGGCCATAGAGTGACATTGTTCATAAAATATTTAAAAACACACACACTGTAGTAGCTGTGTACTGCACAGTTTATTTTTATGTCCCACACACACCCTCCTGCTGCTGCTACTAGGAACGCCAACTATTAATTCACTGCTAAACATAGTCCCCAACAAAGGAACCACGTGCTTCTGTTTGAGTTAAAGTTTGAAAGAAACTACAGTGGCAGCTTGGAAATTACTGAGCCTTTTTTAATAATTAAACTGTTTGTGGCCCACATAAAATATTTGTCTTCAGTAGGATCCAATCGGTTTGGGGCCGAGAGCTACAGACAGGGTATGGAAGTCAGAAAGTACAGAGAGACAGACAAACGCATTCTTGGTTTTGGTCTTTTCATGGAATTTGGTGACAAATATAATACAGAAGTTAGACCAGCTGTATCCTTTAAGGCTGCATGGAATAATTAAAATATTTCCGCAAAAATTAACATTTTTTAAGAAAACCCAAAGACTACCCCTCAGATTTAACTGCAGTAGAGTAATTCCTACTTAACACTGGAAATAAGGGACAAGTAAGAAATAAATAAGGGATTGGTAAAAACAATAGTTGTGTGGGGTTTCGTTTTCGGTGAGTTTTCTGTAAATACCTCAATTTCAAGTTTAATTTGACAATCACGCAACTCTACAGCCGTAATGCAAATGACCATTAGGGCCGGTCATACAGTAGCATTTTCAAGCCTTAATCCTGCCCGATGTGGCTGCGTTGACCCTGTGAGGTGGCTATGTTTGTCCGGGGTTGGCTGTGGGTTAGCTGGGCTTTGGAAATCAGACGGCAGCAGTCTGACCTATGACAGCACAGCGTTGGTGTGTCGTATACCTATCAGGTTGTCTGCGCTGAAGGATCGTCTCATCGCTGCTCGGTTCAGGTCCTTATACTTGTCCTCACATAGTCTTGAAATGGCCTGGGTGGACAAACGCACAAAGACAAAAAAAATAAAATAAACTTGATCATTGTGTTTTAATTAGAGGTGTCTGATTCCCTCTGCAGAATAACAAATAAAAAAAAAGTCAGCTCTTGTTGCAGAAAGCTCAACTGGAAATTCCTGTTTTGTTTCTCTGCTCCTGCAGTTTAGTACATCACTCACTGTGTTTGTGTGATGCCTTATAACAAAGCCTTACTCAGTTCATTCTGGTCAAACAGCACAAACTGCTTAAAACATCCAACCAATTGAAACAGTTGCTAAAATAAGTATAATAAGTATTTTTTTTATCCTTTGAAGTAGCCACCATTTTCACCAAGACAGCTTCTAATCTGAGGTCAGAGTGAAGAGTGAAGTCTGCTTGCTGCAGAATGGTGAGGAAATATTTCAGGCGCATCATAATGAGACAAACTGGTAGAACAGAAATTACTAGTCGAGGTCTGAGGAGCTTACCTCTAGTTTCTGGGCGCGCTGGTTGTTGAGAGGCTCCAGAGGGAAGTTGAGGTTGTTGTCATCAGCCAGCTGCCGCAGATCAAAGTAGTACTTGGCATAGACACTGGCTGGCACGTTGATATTGAACTGGAGAAGTTCCAGGAAGTGGCGCTCCATCTCATTCCTGGTGGGTGGAAAGAGACCTGAGGGTTATTCCAGACAGTCAAAACGTCCAAGCAGAGTCTTAACTCTACTCTAAACCTTTAGCTGATAGCTTTCTTCTATAGTAAACTATACTGAATGCAGCGGTGCAACAGCGGAACAGAAGATAAAAGTCCAAGATGCCCAGTAAAGAAAGTGCACTGCCAAAGGATGCTCCACAATTAAAATCTCACCAAGCAATTTCTAACTTGAATTTAAAGTGAGCCACATTTCATCTGCATTTCTGAGCTTTTGCTACATGCAGTTATTCAAAAAGAAACATAGCAAATACAGTCAACACTCAATAGAACAACATTCACATATGATAATTTAAAATAATTTAATAATAATCTCAGGAGTCATGCCATTAAGACCTGTGTATGAATTTGATCATCCACACTTGGGATACTGAGGGCAAACCTTTAGAAACGGCGTTTCTTCTACAGAAAAGCTGTCATTCTTCATCTGAGCAGCACGGTGATATGATTTTACTGAAGACATGGTCTTATTGCTTATGTGTACAGTTATTTGTGAGTCTGACATGTCTTTTAACATTGGAAATGCTTATGGAGATGGAAGAAAATCTCTTCCACATAGATCTCTCTTTCTCTCTCTCTACCTCTCTCTCTATCTCACACACAAACGCAGGTAATCAGACATGTATCAGTATCACAGTTCACCTTTTCAAGCTACAGCCTCCATCATCCTTCCTCCTCTCATCACACAGCCATGAGAAAAGCTAAGGGAGGTGGTCGCCAAGGAGACAGCATCTAGGATGCTTTGTTGGTCAGCAAAGGTGGTGAGAGTGAGCGTGAGTGTGTGTGTGATGTCTGGTCTCCCAGGGCAACTAATGGAGTGGGCGAGAGCCAGGGCCATTATGTAGAAGCAGTGAGAGCACTTGAGACCCTCCCCTGCATTTCTCTCTGTCTGTCTCTCTGTTTCTCTCTCTACCCTTCTTCCCATCCCTCCATCCAGACCCGACCAGGCTCACAAAGACACTTCAATGGCAGCAATGACAACAGGGCAGAGAGAGTGTGGGTCAGAGATATATGAGGGGAAAGAGAGAGTCAGAGAGGGATGGGGGCTCGCAGACAGAAAACACGCATGCAGGCAGTGAACGCACCTTTCCAAATCACAAAAAGCAAGGAGGCACTTCCAACCTCACACACACACACACACACACACAGTAGGAAATAAAGCTGGGTGCTCCAAGTGCAGCCCCTGGCCTCTTCACTGGCTTATAGCCCAAGCGACAGCAGAGATGCTACAGCTTCCATCTCTGCCAGCACTTCTTCTTCTGTCTCCTTTAAGTGCATCTTTGTTGTTATATTTCTTATATGGGGGGGGTTTCTACATCTAAGTATCTGGAGCTTAGAAACCCACATACCCACAGCAAACAAGATTTAGATGAAATTGAAATGTTAGCCACAACTCAGGAAACAATAATTTAAGGTCAATTTTTATTTTGCTGCATTAGTTAAATGACCAGACCACTAATAACAAGCTTGACAAATACAAAGCTATGTCATTACTCAACTGTGAATGCAATCCTTAATAAATAGGTCTGGATCATGGTGGCAGCAAAGCAGCCCAGATGTGCTTCTTCCTAACCTCATCCTCGAGCATTTCCTGTGGGATCCCAAGGCGTTCTTAGGCCAAGTAGGACACTCCACTCCATTTCATTTCAGTGTGTTCTGGATCTTCCCTGGAGTTTCCTCCTACCTGGACACGTCTACAATATATCCACAGGGAGAGTCCAGGAGATCTCCGGAGCAGACACACGACCGCCTTAACTGATACTCTTTCAACATGAAGGAGCAGTGGTTTTACACTACTAAACAGTCCTTTTTGGATTTCCACGGGGTCAGCAAAGACACCCTGCACAAGAATCTGTATCCATGATCTCATGCTCACATCAGACCCCAAGATACTTGAACTGCTTCAGTTGAAGCAGAAACTCGCTCCCAACCCAAAGTGCAAAATCCAGAACTCAACCTACAAAAGACACCATCTCATTGGCGATGTGAAACACCGCTGCATCTGTAATGTCTCATCACTGTGGCCCCTTCTTCTAACATGGGATACGATGGGAATGTGTGCACAAGATGTGCCTTGGAGAACGTCCACAAAATAAGTTAACCCTCTTTGTGTTTTTGGAAATGGTTATCATACTTACGGAAGGCTATTTAACTTCTATTGTCAGAACATGGCATGTACAGTGAACTACTAATGCCTCCCCCTTCAGAAATTGATTGTGATTGAGTGAAAGTAGTGATTCTTTTTCCATCTTCCTTATTTTCAGTGTGTTTTTGAACAGAAACCAACTCACATGTCCTCCACAGTGATGTCTTTTAGGATCTGGCAGTAGTCGACATTCCACACAGCCTGGTCATCCCAGACTTTGGAGGCCAACAAGATGGCTCCCAGGACGATGCGCTTCCAGTTAGCGGGGCAGATATCCAGCTCAGCATAGGTCAGCAGGCGTTCCAAGTACACCTTGAAGAAGAACGTTTACATGGTCAAAATTTTTGTTGGGGACTGAATGATAATTTCCTCATTAGTTCACTAAATATTACCAGGAACAAAAGTCAGGTTGGCCCACATATTATGTACCAGTAAATTACCCTATATTTGTGTTTAGTGGTAATAAACATACTGTACTAGACCAACTACTTACTTTATTACTTCAGTGTTGTATCTATTAAAACTGTTTTTATTCTTGCAAAAGGGATTACATCTGAGGATGATCATCCATAATTCATTGGAAACAGAACAACTAACCCAAATTCTGGTGACAGTCATTCAAGCGAGATTGCCATTTTGAAAATAGAACATTTCAATGCATTTTTGCCTCTGCACCTCACTTGGTAAAATTGTGTTAAAAAGAGCATAAATGTTAAATTCAAACCTGTCTGTCTTGTAAAAATCACAATTTTAATGCAACCAAGAATCCGTCTACTACAAGCCTCAAATGCTTTTTTTGTGTGATCATAACACAGACACTGTGTTATTTGGGACATGTCAGTTTGCAAGGGTGTACTGCCCTCTGGTGACTAGTTTGTAGTAATAGCACAGTATTTATTTACACGTACTCCACCACTAACTACATACTCTACCACACACTTTACCACATGTAGTTTCAATGTCTTGATAGATTTCAGACAGGGTTTCAACAGAGTTATATATGGGGTTCTAAAAAGGTCCACAGTAACATCTTATAGACTTAAATGTGTCTAATTTCATTCAAGACTGTGTAGCTTATACCAAAGCTCTGTGTTATTAAATCTGAACTTTTTACAGCAAAACTGAGAGGTGCTCTAAGAGTTTCATTCTCTGCAGGGCCAAAAGGCCTAAAAAGAATGTTGCACTCAACTAAAACCTATTAATCTCTACGTTGATTCCCAGGATTCCAACAATAAAATCATTATTCTAACAATCTATGTTAAAGCCAAATTAGGTGTGTACTACCCAGTATTACAGAGGCAGACTTACTAGAGTGACAATGGCACATTCTGCTGTGAGCTGTGCAGCGCTGAAGAGTGTTCTGACAAAGCGGTAGATCAGTTTGTGTTCTGGGTCTACACGGTTGTAGTCGTCTGGCACTGGCTCTCTCTGTAGGGGACAAACAGTTCACACATACACAAGTACGGTTATGGATTCATCTAGAATGATTTGCTTCTTGATTCTTCTCTTGATTCATGACTGATGTCTGAAACTATTTATGTAAAAACCATGTTTAATAGTAAAGCTGTAGGGGCACAACCCGTACAGGGAGAATATCCACATTCCTGGAAAAAACATCAGAACTTTCCTTTAATATAAATGCCACAAACATGCTTGTTGCAAGCAGACATTTAGTAATGTTTGTTTCATCTGAAAGGCACTTGCGAGACTGTCAACACTGATATTGAGTTTGTCCCAAATGTTCCTCTTAACCCTCCCTTCTATTTGATGTCATCTTCAGTTTGGAGTGGCCCTCCAAAAATGGAGCTATGGTCGGCTTTAAAACAACTTCATTGTAATATGAGACTGCACTCATGCCTCATTACCACAAGTCTATAACTGAATGGAAACCACTTATAAAAAAGACCACAAGAGAGAATGACAAATAACTTTTTTTTCTCCTTCTTGTTTTTTTTTTTTTTTTAAGCCAGTGAATCACATCCATTTTAATGATGCACTACTTACAAATACTGTTAATGTTTTTCTGTCCCAAGGTCTTAGGAGATAGCCCTCAATGCCAGGTCAGTTCAGGTATTTCATTTCAGGGACAGTCTCAAATTACTGAACTTTAATTTTTTATTTTACATGAATTCAGATTGTATGTACTGAAGAGGTAAACTATTGTGTCAGATCTAATTTCGGATCTTGGTGTATGGTATATGGTCATGGTTCTCCAGTTGTTGATTCAACAGGTAAGTAAATGCAAATAAAGCAACATCTTAAAGTTGCTCAGACCGACTGTTTTGCTGATGGGACCAGAACTCATTGTTACTTTGTTTGAGGAAATCTCATCAACATACTCACTGATAAGGGGTGCAACTTCTCATCAAAGATGTCCAGTGACTTGTCTGAGTCCCTGAAGAACACATAACACATCTGTCAACGTACTTCACGCACAAACCAGTTCTGGTTACATAATATGCCACAAAAATGTACATGTACACCTACCTGTTTTTGATGTGGTAGTATATTGCTAACGTGACACTGGAGAAAGAGAGAATAGGGAATTTTTTTTTTTTAAAGTGTGGATTAGTGTTTGTGTTTAAAAGCTTAGTAATTTTTTTTGCACACATTTAGCAAGGAGGCTTCATTTAAACCTAACGAGATAATCCTTGTGAAATGTGATTTTCAGATTGACTAACAAATGCCATTAGAGAGGACCGTCCTAAATTAGGCGTGAGAGCATCTGTTTAAGTCATGCATTCATCAAGTATTACTTCAGGATTACCACGCTGTGATGTAACAGGATTTTCTCATGTGAAATGAGGGACTTTTGGACAGCACGCATTGTGTGTTTCTGTGTGTGTGAAAGGCTCTCACCATTTGATTGTGCTTTTGAGGTTTGGCTGGCTGACGGTGTTGTCGTCTATGAAGATTGTGGAACAGGAGCTGTATTTCTTTGACAGTGGACCAGGAGATACCTTGAGACATTGAAATCACACAATCAACAACCTGAACTAATCGGAGGGACGGGAATGTCAGTCTTGATGGCTGCGTTTCTTTAGACTGGTTCCACTTTTCTGAATAGTGGTCCATGGGTTTTTCAACACTGACAGCAATACAATTCTAGATTAACACTGAATACTTGCATGGCATTCTGGATTTGATAGAAACATTTGCAAATATAGAGATATTAAATACAAACACAAAATATCTACTAAGAGGCATTAGTTAGTTCATGAAACTAACTGAAACCTTGTCCATTGTACAGTGTGAACTCACCACCAGGTCAGTAAAGAGAATATAGCATACAGTCAATTCCACAATCAGATTTATAATCAACTTTTTGACACACTTTTCACACTTACATGACTGATATGATTTATGTGGTTGCTTTTCCTCTTGTCTCGTACTGTAAAGGAAGAAATGTGTTCAATAAAGCCAAGCTAGAAGAATGAGTGCTCAGTACATACTGAATTCACTGTCTTACAAAACAAGGTATGTACAGACTCAAATGAAGTATTAAACATGATTTCTTTTTTTTTTGTGATTGTTTCCTTACTGCTAAGTAAAGAGTCCAAGTATAGAAAGAACCTGTTATAATCACCTATCGACTTGATTGATAGAGATGCCTGTGGCACCAGTGGCTGTGTGATGCGCACAACTTAATCAAGCTCTACAGTGAATTAGGTCATGAACATTTTAACCTCACTGTCAGGACCGCAACAAGTATAAAAACATGGCCTAGGATTAGATAACTGCATGAACAGAAAAACAATGTAGTACAGAATTAACTTCTGAAAACATATCCGTCTTAATATTCAACACTAAATCATCTGTTTCAGGTGTGTTTGCGCTTCAAAAGGATTTTAGGGAAGACATTTAATGTGAATCCCTGCTGTGTGTGTGTGTGTGTGTGTGTGTCATGTTAGGATTGCTCACCGTCTGTCTGGGACTTGCTAAGGAAGATGGTGCTCGCTCGGGCGTGGTCCGACGGGTTAGACTCCAGGGCCAGCTCTAATAAAACAAGAAGTGTACGTAAGCGCTTTATAATGACAATCTGTCAACAAAAGCACTCTGTGTGCTGCTTAACCCCCAGTCCTGGGTAGGGATGAATCTAAAGGAGAAAACAGGAAGCCATTAGCTGACATATCTATCAAACACACTGAGAGAAGCACACAGTACAATTCTGTAAATTGTCGTTATCCATTATGATGAAATAATGAAACATGAGTCAACAGATTTGTGCATAAACCAACCTCACAACAAAAAGGCTCAGAGACGAGCAGGAAGTGAAGGTGGCTGCATACAGACTTGGCAGAGCCTTACCAGGCAGTAAGATGTCAGCTGTCTGATTATCGCTGTAGGCTGGAGACTGTGAAAGACTCAACACCAACCACCAAACAAGACTCAAGATAAATTGTTAACTTGTGGCCTGCCTGGTCGACTGCCTATAAAAAGGCTACAATTCCTGCACTGTTTGCTTTCAGCTGAAAGTCAGAATTTCACCTTCATAATGGCGTTTTCATTTCAAATCCAATTTGCCTTTTGTCCAAAATATAAATCTATACTATTTTATTAAGGCAAATGCATGTAAACAATTACATTACAGGATTTTATTTTTGGACACTGTCCAGTATGCTTAGTTTACATTGTAGACTTATTAGTAGCTACTGTAGTATGCTAACTGCTTGTGTACAGTAAGATACTTTACAGATAATAGTGTAAAGACTGCACTGGTTCATACAGAAGCGTGACTTAAGAGAATTGTGTCCTTTATCCAAATCTGTGCAAACAGACTAGCACATTACATAAAGCACAGGGGATTAGGTGATCGCAGCATTTGTGTAGTGAGGACAGCAAGAAGAGACACGAGGAATGTAGAAAGGGCTGCTGGACAGATTCTGACCCTCGCCCTGCCAACAGCTGGTCTCTCCAAACTGCACTCACAAACTTTAGCCCACAACAACATGAATGGAATGAACATTGTGCATATCTGGGAGTCAATGAGGAGTGGCAACACAAGGACTGATGGTACAAAACTGAGCTCAGGGCTATCACAGAGAAATATCTGAGATGCTTTCTCAGTCCGGGGTTTGTATCACAGCGTGTGCAAAACAAACCAACAACTTTGAAGGGTGTTTGAAGACACGGCCAATTTGCTAATCTTAATTAACCTTAACCCTACCTTAATTTACACTCTGACTATGTCACAGTGGGCACGGTGATAGCAAATGAATATCACTGAGTAGCACATTAGAAGATGCAGTTTGTTCACAGGTACATACACATGGTTAGAAAATCTTGGTTGTTCCAGTTATGCCAAGGTCTCTTTCAATTTCTACTTCTCCAACCACACTCAATAACAGGCCCTGTAAATAAAAGTGTGGTAGGGAAAAGAAATGACAGTAATGATGAAGGGCTTGTTTTTATTGCTAATGGCTGACTTGGTAATGTGACGCCAGTGTGATCAACATGATGCAGTGCCCAACTACAGAGTGCCAAGAATGTTATCATCATCATCATCATCATCATCAACGCACTGCTGGCAGCAGGATGGTAATAAACAAGTCCGGCAACTTGGCAATAGCTAGAGTGTCTGTGTGTACATTTCCTTGCTGTTGTAAAAAAAATAAAAATAAATAACAGATTATACCATCAAGTTGCTGTATGTTGTTGCACTAAAGATTGACTCTGTGTGTCAATATTAGTGAAGGCGGGTCATATGAGGGAGCTTCCTCACTGTGTGACTGGATTCAGGTGAAACGTCCCTTTAAACAAACAATAATGGGTGTGACGCTTCAAGGACTCAAACACAGGAAAAGAAAAACCATCACAGGTGCGGAGAGTATCAGACAGACACCTACCATCGGGGACCTCTCTGTCGCTTATATGCTGCAGATAGGGCACGGTGTTGTCGTCGCTCACTTCGGTGCTGGTCTGGAACTCCTCCAGCCGCTCTGCAGGTTGTCTCGACGGCAGCTTGGGGCTCGACTCGGGAGAGACGCAGCATGACACCGTATTCCCCATCCCAAACCGGGCGTGAGCTTCACACTATTGCAGCCAAGTCCGTGTAGTGCAAATATTTGTAGCTAGCTAAAGTTAGCTTCCCCCCAGTCTCATAAACATTACCAGGCTATAGTCAGTATTAGCACGACACTATCTCTGCGTGCTAAATCGCCGCTGTCCACCAGCTCCCAGGAATCGCATTCCTGTCCATTTGTGGGTATGTAGCGTTAGTGTAATAGTAAAAAGAAGAGTCAGCCAGACAGGCTCACTCTGTTGTACAAAATATGTGCCCTTTTATGCAATATTCGACGTTTTGTTGTAATAACAACAAGCTGTTAAATGCAAGTGGTCGAATTCATTCATTCATTCATTCAACATGCTAGAGTTTCGCTGCTAGGTAGCTAACTAGCATTATAGCAAGCTAGCTAACTAGTTAGCTTGTCTCATGAACTTTTTTTTCCTCTTTCACATTAATTCCACTTTTTTGCTATCGTGTAAACACTATTTACTCTACAAAACAAACATGTTACAACCTCAAACCGCCAAATTCTGGTAAATACATTTCATGAGACTTTCCAAACAACCCCACGGATGTCTTCTCGCACTCGGGTCGGTGTGGAGACAAATCTAGCCCGAGGTCTCTGCGGCCTCCAGAAGAAACCCCGAGGATAAAAGAGAAAAATCCAAGACTGTAGGCAAGAAATTCTCAATGAGGTCAGATTGACCAGGCCGTATCCCTGTTCCTCATTAGACAACCAACTCTGGTAGCTGGCCCGGACTCCCCCCGTCAGAGCCTCCACCCCGTCAGATTTGTGCTGGATGTACGCCCCGCCGCCGCCGCCGCCATCTGTTGAGGACTTCACAGACAGCACTGCTTGGCACGGATGTGTTGTAGCCCCGCCCACCTAGTAATTCCATTCACTCCCATTGGCTGAGAAATCACAACAAGGCCCCATTAACGCGTCTCATTGGTTAACGGAGCTGCCTGTTGGAGACGATTTAAACCGATGAAATGTATTTACAACGATACTATTTTTGTATCATCACCGATCCACACCCTTTTTTGACAGTGAAAACAGAAGCCCGTCCTCTATTGCACTATCTACCTGTCAATCAGTGCACCCCCCCCCCCATTCAAGCCATATGAAAGAATATGTCTTGTACTTGTTATTTGTTTTTAATATCCCCTTTCTGAAAATATATATACTATATATTGAAATATCTATTGATAACATTTGTTATGTTTATAGTAGTAGTGTTTACAGTAGCCAGACAATGAACTAAAAAAAAAATTGTACATTAATATGTCCTACTACTTAAAGGGAGTAATATTGTACTTTTTCTACTACTATGACAGGTTGCTAGTTAGTTTGCAAATAAAGACTTTACAAACAAAACATGTATAAAATATGATACATTGCTATAGATTTAACTTCCTGACAGAATGTAGTAGCTCCACCGTGGCCTGCTGCGACATCAAAAAGGTAGACATTCTGCATTGTGAGTATTCTACTTTTGATACAAATATATTTTACTGGTAATACTTATATACTTTTGAATGCAGAACTTTCACTTGTAATACATATTTTAGTTAAATGTCTCCTAATGTGAACAAATGGTAACCCAGTTCTACAATTTGAGCTTCATTGTGCAGAATTATGTATGATGATGTAGATATAGTGTGATGTAGAAACTTGAAGCCGCCAGTTCACATACACAGAAAATGGGCAATGAAGGAGACATCTTGTGTCCAGCACGAAAACTATAGAAATGAACTTTTTTTTTTGAACACATCAGACACACATTGTTGTTTCAAGTAGACTATTTTAATACATGTGTGGAATCTCTAAGATTTAAAAAAATGGACCATTGTACACATAATTAAATGTACTAAACTGTAAGATAGAATAGTAAATGTCATGCGATCACCCATTATATAAAACACAGAGCAACTGGAAACTAGTTTCTTTTTACATGTATACATTTTCTCTTCATCATTCATCAACATCTGTCATGAATGGATTGTTCATATGATTGATTGATTAACAATAAAATACATAACAATCTTCAAGAGCAGTTTATTGCGACATAGCAAGTGTTTACAAAAGAGTGATGTAATGTCAGAGTAACAGCACTTTAAATAATGGGCTGGTATAGTTTTATAATGTGACGATGTTTAAACAAAGTACATAATGAATCATTTAGTTACCTTGTCTCCACAAGATACTATACAATACATGGCATTTTAAATTGATAACTTGTAAAAGTGGCAATATATAAACTGATCACATTAAAAGTTAGAAAAATGTTATTATTACTGTTCTAGAAATTATATATATAATTTTACACACATAGAAATCAATCTGTTTCATGCAGAAATGAGGCCCGTGGGTAATAAACTATTCTGGCACAGAAATGAAAACACTTTTGGTTTTGTTGGAAAGATATTGTGTAATCACATCACAAAGTTGAGCTCACTATATCAAATCAACAGAAAAAGATTATTACTAGATTTTCTTTTCAGCACCAGCACTGGATGTGTGAATTACAAGAGGTGAACATGATTATTTTTTTTTTTCAGAATATACTTACAAAAGTTTTCATCTCAAGTATCTGATGGCACCGGTATCTAAAGGTTTGGAGCGCTACCCAGCCCTACGCACGCTGTTGAACCCCCGGCTCTGATACTAAATAGTGATTTTATCCTCTAAATTAATCAGCTTTACAATCAGCAAGACGAAAGGTGTGGTTTGTCAGACTTCATTTCATCCCTCCAAATGCATTATAGAAAGATTACCTCTGCATTTTGTTATGTCTCTAAACTTAAAGCTGTGACAGGTAGGACGGCAAAACAGGGACAACATGTACAGCTACATGCTAACGTGCTGTAGGTGATGATTCATTCAAAGCCTTCTAAATTAGTATAAGGTGCTGTGTGATTCCTTTTGCCGATTCAACCCTTTAATCCTCTATACATTACGAATACACACTGTATACTGTACAATATCAAAATGTTTTAAACTAGAAAAATAAAACTGGCAGAGCTACCATGAACTGAAGATCTTTTAAAAACTAATACAAAACAAACCTATTTTAAGGAAAACACTCTAATTGTTAGAGTGACCATTAATGCCCCCAAATTTATTCTCACCACATGATCGAGGTTATGAAACACAGAAATAGATTTGTAGTCATGTTATGTTAACTCAATGTCCACTTACTAGCTTCCCGAGCTTTCAAGGGGTTATTATCTCACGCCCATATACGTATAGTACCCATACGGTGCGCTGTGATGTAATGACACCTGAGTTAACGCCATCAGCTGAAGCGTTGGCCAAAGCTGTTACAGTAAGTGGACCTTGAGTTAAGTTAAACTTTCCAAGGGCACGAATGAACATTGATGGGGCTCAGAAATAGTAGCTACCAGGATATAACTCCAACTCAATGAATAAGATTCACAAATCAACAGTGAGCTGGAGGGGAAAAAATTAAGAATTTGGAGTTTCTGTAACAAAATGACACAGTTTAGAGAGGATTAGAGTTAGTTTCCATCTGTAATAGAAGCCAATACTTGGGTTGAGGATTAACTAACTCACATGTATCTTAAAGAAGAATTGTGCTTTCATTCAATTGATTGACTGGAACAGTTACTGATGCAGCCATTTCTCTAGGCCTATGAGCTAAAAATACATCTCCAGTTAAGAACATGTGTGGCTGAGTTTAAAGAAACGGAAGGGTTTGTTGTGCAGTTAAAAAAAAAAAAGAATTATAAAAATTGTTTTGTTGTCCACCCCAACAGACTCGCTCTTCTCTAAAAACACACAGTCAATCCTAAACAGAGTACAACACTCCAAAATAAAACATCTCCAGCAAAGGCCTTTTCTCATACACTTAGCTGCCATGACGGTGGTAGGCCTGGTGGATTACATGAATACACAAATACATTGTCTTCTATTATTCATTGATGTATGTTACAAATATGCAAAGTTGGTTTCATACAAGCCATAAGAACATATTTCATATCAAATAAACAGAAATACACAAGGTCTACACATGCTGTAGAGTCTATGTACAGTAATATAAAAAATAAACAGACGTTATACGAATACGTACACGTATCTTCTCAAAAACTACACACAGTCCCACAAAAGGGATCTCTTTTCAACACAACATACGTCTTCCATTATTAGTGTTAAACTAATAATTATAGCCTATCTTCTGTAGATTTCACAAAGAATCCAATCTGCTACATGTTGAAAAAGTGCCATGCCATTGCTCCAATGGCCACTTATTGGAGGAGTACCTGGTAGCAGCCAGGTTTACTTGCATTATTCTAAAACCCCAATAGTCTGAAAAATGTCCCATTGGATCGAAAGACCATTTGTCTGACAGCCTGAAAACAAATACCCGTTGCTCTGAAAATACCAGCATGGTATAACTTAAGTAGTGTTTTAACTTACATCACATACATAATGTAATTTAACTTATGCACTTAACTGACATAACTCATGTAGTTATTTTAACCCAAAGCATCTTTTCCTTACCCTGACCAAGTAGTGTTGGTGTGTGAACTTAAACAAACTGCGGCTGTTTCACAACGTCGCAGCTAGTATAGCTAAGAAGCTGTGCACTGTCCCTATCAAATAAATAAAATAGATTAGGGGAAAGAAACTCCAGGGCCAGTGTGTATTTTATAACAACAGGCTGTGGTTACAACAGGACAGTTTTTGGACTATTAGGGTTTCAGAACAATGGGTAGTCCCCTTCAAAAAAATGGCCCTGCAATCTCACATGTTGTTGCCACCCATATTTTACCACCACTTAACAGACATTGCAAAACAGACACAATATTAGAAAACACTGAAAAAATACAATGAGATGAAGTCTGTGGTGTTAAAATTACTCAATAATGTGCATTTTTGTACAATTGGATCTTCTTTTCATCCTTTTTGACATCACTGTCATCTTTTACAAGACATTTTACTCACTCAGTTAAGTGCTGATATCTGGGGACCCAGTGAGCCATGGGAGCAAGAAGTTATAAACAATCTCCCAGTTAACTAAACCATGAACATACCCGAGTGTCCATTAAACTTGTGCTTTGCTTTGCTTTTGCGCAGAACTACAGTTAAGTACAGTGTTCCTTCACAGCAACCAGATTGCGTAATTACTTTAACATATAGATTTGTTTTCACTTCCAAATAATTTAGATAAAATGGCCCCTTGTGTTGTTCCCCTACTGGATTTGAGTGAGTAAAATGTTACCATAACTAATAGGAATATTGGCTAAAACTATAAAAATGGGACCCCAGGCAGTAAAAGCAATCTTTCTTTAAAAGTGTGCCTCATCCTACTAATAATCTTATTTTTTAGCATCTCTGACAGCTGTCAGTTGTGGAGAAGCAGAACAACAATATGAGAGAATTGAAAAATGTGACAATGCGCCTGTTGTTAAGAGACATGACTGCAGCCATCCACTGTCTCCTGACACACACACACACACACACACACACACACACACACACAGTTCCTGTTCCTTCAAGATCGGCAGTTGGTAGCATCTTTAAAAACACTTAGAAAAAAAGACGTGTTCGTGCCGAATTAGCTGTAGAGTCCGCTATACGAGTGGCCGTATCTCTGAACGTTGGTTCATTCATCAGGGCGTGGATCAAGTAGAGATTCACAATTCAATCAAAGCCTTTAACTGCAACTGACTGAGCTTGCCTGACACAGAAATGTCAAGAGTCATAATTGTTGTACAAATTATTTTAGGATAAAGTATGAACATATGCTAAAATGTACCAAACAGCAGGCAAAAATATTGTATTTTACAATCTGGGTCACACTGAACTCACCACTGTGAATATAAAGTTACCATTTCACCATGGCAACAGAAAGTATTAATTCATCAATATTTAGCAGGTGCTTGTAAAGTCACATATCGGGAAGCGTCAAACATAAGTTCTGTAAAACATAGGGGAAGGTAAATTAAACTGCAGGTAATGCTACAAGGACAACTTGTCGGCCATTATTGCTTACATAGTAAACACAAGTGCTCGACTGGAGTCCAATGAGGTCGATTAAATATGAGCCTCGAACAGATTTGAACTACACGAACCACAGGGAGGTTCCGTTTGTTGCTGATTTAAGGACAGCATTTTCTCAGCCTCACTGGACTCATTTTACAGTGAAGTATCTCTACAATGACCGTGATGAGTACAGTGTTACACTAACCTGTACGGGTATTAGCCAAATCTATGACAATTAGACACAGGCTCACAATCAAAGATGTGTGAAGCCCCATGTTAGCCTGTGTCAGCAGCTGATTTTGCCCCTTTAATGATGTTGCACAGGGCTGTAGCTAAGGTTTTAGACTATAAGGTTTTGCCACTGTCATCATCAGACCTGGTTATTAGACATTGGTAGACCTGGGTGTTTTCAGTGTAGTGACACTGTAACGATTTTGTGTATTTTAAAAGTATTATAATGACTCCTGAAGAGAAGGTAGTGTAAGCAGAACTGGATTAGGGCGACTTCATCAAAAAAGAGCCAGCCATGTGCAAACTGGAAGGCCAGGCAGGCAGAATCAAACAGTCAAAGTATTTGAAAAGAACCGAAATGCTACTTTTCCCACCTCGGTGTTCAGGACAGGAACTACTCAGATTTATGGCAGTAAAGGTCTTTAAGTGCTTTAAGTTCTTCAATTAGTGTCTTGTTTTGGTTCTCCAGGACGGCCACTCGGTTCTCCAGACACTTAACATACTCCTTCTTCTTCCTGCGACATTCACGGGCTGCCTCTCTGTGGGAAGAACAAGACACAATTTGTCTTTCTTATTCATTTTTCATCACAGGAGGACTTGGGACTTACCTTGTCCGACCTGGCCTGTTAGCATTGCACTGAGACATATTTCGGTCATGAAGCTTCACAAAAGGCACCAGCTTGGGCAAAGCAAACAAACAACAATGACACCGATTCCGCCCTCTATTCATACCTGTTCTTCATGAGGCGGACTTCCCGTTTACGGGTGACCTCCTCAGTAGCGCCCTGGGTGGGGAGGGCAGGAGACGAGGCCATGACCACCCCAGGGGCGATGGTGCTGGCAGGGGCTGCTCGGATCTGATAGGCCTGAACGTCACCAGAGGCAGCTGAAAGGTGTGGTTGGTAGAAAGTGGAAGTTACATTTTACTTTGAAAATCAATGTTTCTTCAGCTTCAGTGTGTCCATTTTTGCTAACAACAGCAGAAAAGGACCATGATTAGGAAGGAAAAGATATCACCAGGTTCAGCCTTTTAGATCATGACACCACTTCATTAATCCAGACGATCTGAAAACAGCACACTCTCACCTTGGACCACCACCTGGTTACTGGGAACCAGTATCTGCTGGCCGTCGCTGGTCTGTGCGTACTGGAGGATGGTGGCTCCAGGCTGTGCAGCTGCTGCTGCATTGGTCATGGTCAGAGTCTGAAGGCCCTGGACTCCATCTGTACCGTTATTAGCCAGCTGAATGGCCCCACCCTGTGTGATTGCAACTGTGTGTTTGGTGAGAGGAACAGATGGCGAGGGAGAGAAAGGGAACAAATGAGAGAATTAATCAAATCAAAGAAAAGAACAAGAACAGTGGAAATGGGGTTTATTTATATTATGGTGACACATCACATCATATTTTGATGAATAACCTGCTCAAACTGGTCATGTGACTCACTGTCAACAAAAATACTCCAAATAGCAACTCTAGTGAAAGAAAACATTGCCCTGATTCATCACCACAACTGTTTATTAGGTTTTTAAAGGAATATTTAACTATTTGTGTCTACTACGGGGCAGAAACACTCCAAAACAAGCAGACAGATACACAGCCATGAAATATTATCGCCTTAAAAAGTTATGGTGAACAATGACTATTTACAGACACGTATGATGTCCCCCCTACCTATGTTTTGTGATTTCCATGGTATACATTAGTTTCATAATAATAATAACAATAATGTAAAAAAAATAATAACACATTTTAGGAATAAAAAAGAACAGATGAGGAGTGTTGACTGATAAGAGTAGTAGAACCGATAAAATCCCTAATGGGGTGTAACAATCACCAACTATCACCTACTGTATTGGCCGCTGCTGGTCTGGTAGATGGGTGTGGGGACAGTAACCGTGGTGATGGATGGTGTGGCAGCAACAGCAGATGAATCCTCCTCAGCCTTTTCCTCCTCGATACGAGGGACAGCCGGTGCGTCGGATGAAAGGTCGTTCAGGATTTTCCTATTGGGACAAACAAGTGTGGGAGTTACTCACAACACCTACTGGGCAGTGTTAGTGTGTTGTTATGAGCTGAGGTTGTCATGGTGGACACGTTTCACATATTCACTTTGTTTCTGGTTTTCACTGAAAAACAGCCAGGAGAGCACATGGTTGAAACTGTTTGTCATCTCCAGATTTTAGATTTTTAGAGACTTAGATTTAAAAAAAAAAAAGCTGTGTCTTGTTTCAAGATTATCATCATAGTTTACAATAAATAAGATTATCTTGTAGTGAACACAGCTCAAAATCTTCAAGTTATATAAAGTAAAGAGTAGGATAAGGACACAAAGAAATCAAAAACTGGTGTTTTCTTTAATACAAATTTCACCCTGGGATATGTATTATAATTACTATTAGTTATTATAGTAAAATATTATAAGATTAAGGTGAATGCCCTTATAAAATGTAAATAATCAAGCCAAAAAAGAAGTTGGATATTGTGATGGTTTTGGCGGTCTCCAGGAAGTAACACACACACAAATTACCTGTATGAGGGTCGTCGAGACAGAATCTCTCTGCGCTTCTGAGAGTCTGTCACACTGTCTACTGACTCCTGTGAATCCTCACTTTCTGCTATGGTAGAGATCTGGAACAAACAAACAAACAAACCAATAAATAAGCCAGACACAAATGCACCAAACAAAGCTTCTAAATATGAAACAGCTAAAACAAGAATTGAGTGTGTTTGGTGTGTGTGTGTGTGTGTCATTAACCTGTACAGCCTGGACCTGTGGGGACTGGATAACAGACGGCTGCGCAGCCTGGATGACACCATGGACCTGAACCGTCTGTCCGTTGGGAAGCTGTACCAGCGTAACTGTGGGACCTGTTGCTGAGGCGTGACCCGTTGTCATGGATACCTGAAATTCAGAAGCAATGTGACTTTGTGAGCGTCAATAGCAATGAAGTGATGAGTATGCACGTATTTCTCTGCAAAGTTTAAAAAAAAAACTGGAAGCAGTGTTGACGTCATCTGTTACCTGTGCCAAAGTAGCGATCTGTGCCGGGGTGATCTGCTGGGTCTCTGTCTCAGTCACAGCAGTCTCCACCCCCTGCTGAGCCTCCACTGCTGACTCCATCTTCATTGGCTGAGCTATGGATGAAGATTTGAAGAAAAGCTGTTAAAACTGAACTTTCGTTGGAGCTGCAGCCACAGCATCCGTAGGATCAGGATCGCCAGTGGTTTGTGTGCCGCAACCTCAGGATACCTTACAAACTGAAAAACACATGCAGACGGCAAAAAACTAATGGCACTGCACAGCCCATGAGCAACCTTTACTTAAAGAAAATACACAAGAAATTATGAAATTTATGTTTGAAATGCACATGCAAACCTGAAAATGGCTTCAATGGCTTACCATAAAGTCACTAATGACAACATGAACCACCATTCGTCAACTGAATATCAACTCTGAGTAACCAAGGTTCCCCAAAAAATGACATTTTGATTAGTTCCAAGAACATTCCTTGAAGATCTCTATATGTTGTCTATATATATATGTCTTCATCAGTTATGTAAAATATCAATGAATGTACACTTATTCTTCTATCATCCATAAAACAACTGGAAAATGTCCCTGGAAGCTTCCTTTATTGTAACTATATAAAGTTCTGCAGTTGGTAAGGTTTAGCTGTCTCCACAGTTCCTGCCATAGAATATACATACACATATAGTATACACTGTATACAGTCTATGGTTTCTGGTCATGTGGACCAAGTTATTTTCAAACTGATCAGGTCAGAAAGGGTCCCGTAGTATTGCCATAGGTTTCCATTCAGTGTGTCTAATAGTGGATGGGTTGTGGTTAAACCCCCAACTGCTAGATAGCAGTGTTGTAAATGTAACCTGACACTGATACACTGATAATTCAAATGCAGATCCTTTTTTTAAAAACTTTTTATGCATATGATGGTGTGTTCTTTATACTATGAAAGTTTTCCTACATTTCTTTTTTTAATTGCAATATATTGCCTTGTTTACAGTATCACAATACATATCGTATTGCCAGTTGCTTGCCAATACACAGCCATAATAATCACAGGAGGAAAATGTGCTTTTTGAGGCAGACTGAGACGTGCAAGTTAAATGACATGTGCTGTGAGCATGTGAGTGGAGCATCATGTCACTACTTTTTTGGAAAATTAAATTCAGACATCTTAAGAAAACTTTAATACAGGAATGTTCACCTAACCTCAACAGGGTGTTTCCAGATTCCCTCTGATGTCACTATTAAATATAAAGTCTTTATTGATTTTCCAGAGTTCTAGTCTATAGTAAAAGAAAAGTTGCACAGTAGTACAGTCACAAAATTCAGTAAATGATATGGGTACTCAACTCGAAAATGTGTGGGGGCTGACTGTGTGCACATGTGCATCTGTTTAGGACTAATTATGTGGAGGAGCACTTGGAGAAAAAACATGTCAGAAAACTGCTTCTGAGGGACCTATTAAACAGAACTGAATGATTCTGATGAGAGAGAAAGACATCAGAGAGACAACTGCTGTCTGTCCTCCTTCACTGATCATATTTATTGTGGTTACAGCCCTAAATTCAGAACAAATAGTTCCATTTCTGCCACTGATCCTTTCATCAAAGTTTATTACACCATACATTACACTACAAACACGGTTTTTCTTGGCTCAAGTGAAGTGGTATCTCAACTGTGACCCACTGAACCTTGGTTTGCTGGGGTTTTTTAAAATAAGAAAATACTTTGAACATGTGCCAGATACTAAGCAGATGTGAAAGCCTGCCTTTAAGAAGCTATGACTTACGGAGTAAGTCTATAAGGAAAAAATAAGAATTATGTTTTAAATAAAATAAATGGGCTATTGTGTATTAGAAGGTATTCAACAATAAATAATACAATATATATATACATTAAGATAAAAAAAGGAATAGACAATCTGCTGCTAATCAAGACAATAATCTCCCACAAATCTAACATTACGTAATAACTTAACTTATTGTGTTCAGTTTCTGTTGAGACTCTATCAGAGAGGTATTGATTAGCTCTACAGTCATTTACTTAAAAGGTGTTTGTATTGATATCATATAATAAATATATATAATATTATAAAAACAAGTGGAGAATGCACTTTGAAGCCCAAAACGAGGTGTGGTGATACAGTAGGCACAACTTTTTCTGGATGAACAGACTGTGACTGAATGTTAGTTTTTGGTGACGGGGTCTTGCTTAAGTTAAAAGTTTAAGTTTTAATAAAAAACACCTCTGGACCTGATGAAGAGCCAATTGGGATCTAAACACTGAACTTTGACTGTGTGTGTGTTGACAATACAAAAGGACAGCTACATTTTCTCTCCTGGCTTACAAACCATTGCCACCACTACGAACAATAACCGACGCCTTCATGCAAAGTCACGAGATAACAGGGAAACTAGATGATCTGTAACACCACTACTCAGACTATCTGTCCCTCCCTCCTGTCTCCTGTCGGACTGACAAATGTACTTTTCTTGGTTAGATCTTTTTAGCAGTGTGATGCTTTTAATGACCAGCCTTAATCTACAGCTACATCCTGTTTCCAGCTAGGACCACCATGGGGTGGCTCCACTGTTACAATAACAGTATGTGGCAGTGATACATTTAATGCACCACTCCTGAAAAAGCTTTCATTGTTGCCAGCAAGGTCAGGTTTTAGTAAAGTTGGCCAGACTCTCTTGATGCTGTTATTGTGATGCTCTGGATGATGCCAGCCCGTTTGAGCAGAGCTAGAGAAATAACTGACTACTGGATAATTAGCTCATATAAAGTGGGACACTTATATTAATAATCTCTTATCAGGAGTTTAAAAAGTTTGCAGAAAGTTGCAAATGTGTTTTCCCCTCTTAGCAAACAGGCTCTAAAAGCTTTTACAGCTTTAAAATCAATAATATAATCATTAGGATCATCAATCCTGGTTCAGTATGCAACTTATACAAGTGTGATGTAGAAAGTTGATGCCACCAGTGAACAGACACTGAGAATGAAAGTAGGAGACAGCTTGTGTCCAACAAGAAAACTTTAGAAACAAACAAAATCAGCATATGCATGGGTTGTTTAATGAGGTAGAAGGAGTAGATGCTCTTGTTAAGGATTTTAATGTGGAAATCATACTTCTTTTTACAGAAATAAACATATCAGACACACATTATTGTTCAACGCAGAATATTTATGTCTAAATATATGTCTGGAGGAGATATTTAACCAATAGTGATAAATTATTTTTATTTATCCTACTAGTGAAACCTCCTGTTTAAGACACATCACAAACTCCAGAGTGAAACACTGGTCTCTACTCCTGCTCTGAACCAGTCTACCTGCACGCATTATCATTATGTCCGCTGTAATAAAGAAGATGTGATCTCTGGCTGACTTCAGGCTGTGCACTGAGCGTTGATCTGGGACGTGTTGTTCACTGTGATCTCACACTGTGCGTAGCTTCTCTCCGCTGCATGATTGGCTTTACACATTTCTCCCTCTGCTTTTCAAAAGTCTCTCGGATGCTCTGTGTGACAGCAGAGCCACATGGCCGGGCAACGCCCCCTCAACGCACACCGGTCACATCCCGGGAGATAACCGACTATCAAAACTTTATCTGACCGCAAGATACCAAATGTGTGCTCAATCTCCAGGCCTGAGTTCGTGTTTTCATGGTGCAACCAAACGCGACGGCCTGCAATGGCCGATTTCTATGGAGACCAAAATGAATGAAGAGCAGGGAAAAGCTAATTATCGATCAGGCTGAGGTGATATGAGCAGGTGTAACATCACAAATTAACTCTATGACCTCGCGAACATCACATTGAGTCGAGCAAGTGTGGGAATAAATGAGCATATCGCGGCTGATGGTTTCAATGCACCGTTAAGGGAGAAAACGGCGCAAAATCTGTGCGCATATATGTCTTGTCCGCTACGGCATCGTTTGACAGCTGAGCCCGTGAACACCGCTAAAGTCCTGTCACGGTTTCTGAAGCGTTAACACACAAACTGTCCCTGCTGGTTCACTATCACAGCCACACCGTTGGCTCTGTTTCTGTCAAACAGCCGCAGCCTCCCCTCCCTCCATCCTGCTACAAACACACCGCGGCGCCATGATCTCTTTGTTTCCTTCGGGCCGAACCCGACCAGACCGACACTTTCTACGGCCGCGTCCCGTCTCTCTGAGCCCCGGACACCGCTCCGTCCTTACCGATACAGACTCCCCTCGTCACTCCCGGGCCTCCGGAGCTCCACTTTTATTCTGGCCGACACGTAAGAGCCCGCGTCAGGCTACACCTCCGCCGCGTCACCGGGAACAACAACACGGAGATTGGAGAAGGACGAGAAAGCAGATGGCGACAGTGGCCGGAAATCCCCGACGTGGGAACGAAGAATGGCGGGAAATACCGAGGAGAACCGAATCCTAACGACACCCTGCTGCCTCGGGAAGCGTTTGGCAACATTTTACAATAAAGTTTCATAAGCAGTTTAATAATTATATAACAAGAACAATAGTAATCTGTTAGCTAAATACGGTGGTCACAAAAGCTGTGCCCGTGGCCTAATGCAACTTCATAGGTCGTTCAGTTCACCTAAATGTAAAACCTTCTTTTATTTTGAGTTGAACATATAGGATATGGATAGTCTTGGTTGGAGTAAAGAAGGAAATTAGAACTCTTTCTACTGAAATAGTCCATTTACAGTGCGGTCTGTGAAAGTAACCATGACATTGTTTCTGGTAAGATGTTACATTTTTTAATGTAATTTTTCATTGTATGGAGGCAAACACTTCAGAGGCAGATAACTCTGTAGGATACATGTATGCTAATGAAACCTGAGTCACCAAAAAGGGGATGCTTGCATACAGTATCTGGTGTAGGCTATTTAAAATACAACTGCTCGCCCGAACAACTGCATTTTGGCTACGACACTATGTTTAAAGTAGAATACTACATTAATTTTATTCATATAGGAAGGGGGTCTTTGAGGGTTCACTCTTATTTTGTAGTTTGCAAAATAAACCATTTACCTGGGTTGCAGGTATAAGCTTTGTATATTAATGGATCACCACAGGGACCAGCCTTGAGGGTTTACACTAAGAACCCTTCATCATTTAGAAACCTTCAGGGAGGTTTAAGAGACAGGTTCTTATTGCAGAGCTCTATATCTGCCCTCGTGCATAGTTTAAGGAGACCGGAGTCTCACCCTGGGGAGAAGCAGGGGCCATTAGAGGTTGCCAGTCTATCCCAGGGCAATCATTCACACTCACGTTCACACATACGGGCAAATCCATCTCCAGTTAACTGGCAGGACAACATGCCCAGCGGGTTGAAACCTAGGACCCTCTTGCTGTGAGGTGACAGTGCTAACAACTGCACCGGCATGCCACCATCTGGCCTGTGTACATCATTGTGACACGGATTGTGTAAACCATCTCTACACAGATTCTTCTGCTACTCAACACTATTCATCCACATCCCTCCACATGCATACTTTTTTTTTTTATTTATTTTTTTTTTTTTTTACAAATAGCCATTTTTCACAGAAGACATGTTGACATGTCACAGCAGGAGAGGCACAGGTGTAAATGTTAAAATTAATGATGGCTGAATTCCATTTAGCTGCTTCAGTTTCAGGGTCCAGGTGTTGTGCATGCTGGCTCACTGTCACACTGTCACGGCTTACTGTGACACTTTAATATAACAGACCCGTTGTTGATGTTATTGTTGGTAACTTTGGGCTTCCCTTATTGGTATGATAAGCCAAAGGGACTGCTGTGAAAAAGGCCCGTTTTGGTTTTCTCACTGTAACCACCAGAGGGAAGCATAAGACCATTTTAATGCACAGTAAGGGCTCTGTAGGTACACTGGCAATACATACCTTACATAAGAAATAGGTTCATCTCCTATCTAACCACATTCATGGTATGACACCCTCATTCAGATAAGACACACTGCTGTGAAATTGAAAAGTAGAAAGCGGTACAAAAAAATTACGCAATGCAAAAAATGCAACAAAAAGGCAAAAAAAGTTTCCATTTTAGAAAAGTTGTTTATTTTACATCTGTCTACATCTCCAGCTCAACCTCAGAATGAAACATCACATTCAATCTGACAGGGTTTTCCTTTTTTCTTCCATGGAAGCAGCTAGAGCTCGACACAGGACAGGGAGGCAGCCTGTTCGTTTTCATCTCTCCAGGTGGTGGCGCTGTAGAGCTGTGCAAACTCTCTGACCATGTGCTCCTCGGTCTCTGCCTCCCCTCCTCCTCCCCAGCGACAGAGAGAAGAAGAGAGCTGCTGGTGTGTCATCACGCAGATATGTGGAGTTTATCAAGGCAATTCCTTTTATAATCCTCCTGATGCTCGTTGCCGGTGTTTTATCTGTTTAATAGCATTTTACTGCTACACGCCATAAAAAACACCCTTTTTATTGTGACACCAAACACATTGTTTGGGGAATTGACCCTGCCTGGGTAATGAACAGCAGAGAATTTGCAGCCGGTTATAAAAAAAAAAAAAAAAAAAACAAGAGGGGAGGAGGGTGGAGGGGCTGAACGGGGGGAGACAATTTTGACCCAAAGAGGAGAGGAGGAATATTTTACAGGAGGGGGGAGGAAGCCTGCTCTCCACGTCCCATTAGACATTTCAACATGACTGGTTCTTAGTTGTTTTCTGGTTTTGCAGCATAGTCGTCCATTAGGCAACATTCATTTATATAAAGAAAAAAAGCAACAAGGAAAAAACAGGATGTTACATTAATTTAGTTTTTAAATTTAATATCAGCAGTAGGAATACTGCAGCAGTACAAAGCTGGAGAAACATATATACAGATATAGAGGCTTCCATATAGGTCACAAGGGCTCACTGAATGATTAAAATATGAATCATATGCTATGGCCTTCACCAGCCAAACACCTTTAGGAGCCACGTGTCAGACAGAACTCTTCACCACTAACAACAAAGCACCAGAGAAGGGAACATCTTCTAGTGTTTATCCCTCCTGCCAAGTTCAGAGACTTGGACAATCTATGACAAGGAGCACTGAAGCTTCATTGTCACAGGTTCTGCATTTGTCTGCCACTGTTCTCTGAGTCCCTGGAACTGCACTGAAGTATCACTTGCATTTAGCATCACCTTCAGTGTAGTGATATTAAATTGAAGTACTTAAAGCAATGCAGAATGCTAGCTGGACAAATGACAGAACCCAATCTTGGAAGTCCTCGTTGGAAACTGTCTGGAAAAGGGCAGGCCCTTTTAGAAAATACTGGGCAGGTGATTGGAGGAACTATCTGTCCATCACCATCTATCATGGACCGAACTTCCTCCAAACAGATCAACGAACCACATAACAAAGTCGAACTAGTCAAACCAAAGTCAGGAGAAGAGCAAAAACAACGTGATACTGTGATCTCGTAAGCCTAGCTGCCTCCCAACACCCAAAACTGACTGCTGGTAGGAACCGGGAGACAAACAGGGCTCTCCCATGTGAAAGTCCAACATATTACTGACCCATCCAACCATTTGCAGACTGTGGCTCTATAACAACATCTCACTAACTCCTCCTTTGCTCCCAGAGGGCAAGAGTCACAATTCCTACGGTTGCTAGAGGGCGTCGTCACTTGGGCATTTGCTGTAATAACTGATGTCTTTCTTGGGAGGACTGTCTCGCCAATTAAGATGTCCAAGCCATTATTAGATTTAGGGAGAGGATGTTGGAGTCAGTGGCTGGAAACCAAATGTGGACTGTAAGATTTTCCAGGTTCTGACAGAAATGGGGATATAACACACAGCCAGCAGGGCAGGAAATAATTAAAAAAAATATTAAAAAGATGCGGTAATATAAAGGCTCACCATGTGCAAGGTGGAGCACACAGAAAATGGTTCTGGGTTCTCCTTATCCAAAAGGATATCCAGATACAGATCACATGTTAACACCAGGTTTAAATGAGGTAATATTTTATAAACTTCCTGTGACCATGGGGATTTACAAGTCCTTCATTATTTCTATGGTTGCTGTTGTCCATTTACAAATCTGTAAAATTGGATCATGCTTTCATACAGAATCAGGGTGAAAACAGGTGAGCGTTCCACTGCTAACATAATATTTCACAGCATGTTCATGTTTGACATTTTTCATGAGCAGTTTCTCTGTGTTTGTGCTCTGTTTCATCCAGACAAGGTTTTTCAATTTCCACTGAATTCAAACCCCCGCTGCTCATTTTCACTAACACTCGGAGTGTTGATGACACTTTCACAAGAAACTGTGAAAGGTTACCTTTCTGACAAGCTTGTGTGTGTGTGTGTGTGTGTGTGTGTTCAGTACTGCTCAGCAGCTAAAAACGTTTTATCTTGTGCATGTCATTTGAGGTGTTTGTATTTAAAGAAAACTACAGAAATCCAACAAAATACATTCTTACAAGTCAATAATAGACAGTGAAGGACTTGGTAAGATGGAGAAGTATTTGATTTTGGACCAAAAGAGGAGTGATGGGTTATATTTTAAAGAAGGAGAGAGAAAAGTGTCTTCTGGGTAGAAATAAAAGTGATTCTACACACACACACACACACACACACACACACACACAGAGAGAGAGAGAGAGAGAGAGAGAGAGAGAGAGAGACACACACACACAGACAGACACAGAAAGAGAAAGAATCAATAGAGGCATTTGGTCTATTATCATAAACACACAGTGTGTGTGTGTGTGTGTGTGTGTGTGTGTGTGTGTGTGTGTGTGTGTGTGTGTGTGGGAAGAATGGTGTTTCTATCTCCAGATGGTTGACTGAGACTTGGCTGGTTGGTACAGAGAGTCAGAGAGAGAAAAGCAGGCAGAAGGCGTCTTTCTACTTGAGCTCGACTAAATGTGTGTGTGTGTGTGTGTGTGTGTGTGTGTGTGTGTGTGTGTGTCACGTCTGCCAACCTGCCTGTGTGTGCATGTGTGTGTGTGTGTGTGTGTGTGTGTGTGTGTGTGTGTACATGTGTGTGTCTGTGATTGACCTTGAGGAAGGAGGCTCAGTTGGAGGAGAGAGGGATGAGGAGCCCACCTCCCCCCCTTCACCTCTCTCACCCCTGCTGTGCCTCCCCCCCGGGTAAAGAACGACTGGCTTCTCATCCTCCTCCTGTCCTCTCTTTTCTTCTTCTTTCTTCTCCTATCCATTTCTTTTCTCTCCTCTTTTCTGCTTTTATCTACCCCTGCTCTCTTTTCATGTGCTTCTCCTTGTTTCCTCTCATCTTTTCCTTTCTCTCATCCCCTTATTTCCTCTCATTCCTTCTTCTTTCCCCTTTTGTACCCTCACCTTGTCTCCTCTCTTCTCTTTCATTTCCTCCCCTCGTTTCTTCTTGTCT